GGTACAATGGGAGAACTACCCTATTAATTTGCCACTACCACAAAGATGTACAATAGATGAAGGAGACACAAAGACCCTCAGTATCAATCTCTTTTTAAATGCAGGATTTAACTGTGTATCTATCTTTACTATAGCAACCAGGGCACCGGGGCAGTCTGAACATGTGGCCTGTTATTTGATCAAGGATAATAATCAACTAAGTCAAGAGGACGGGAAGCAGATTTTCCTATTTCAACAGCTTGTTAGAATTTTTGGGGTTCTCTAGAGTACTCTAAAATCACAAAAAACATTAAATAATCTGTATTATTTAAATATAAAAAGTAGCAGCTTGTAATTCTGCACAGTATTTCCAATATTAAGAAAACTATGGCCCTGTTTCCACCATTTTGAACTAAATTTAAAACTGAATGTGTGATATAACATATTAAAATTGTGCATTCCACACATTTAAATTATTCCAGTCTCAGTGCTACATAGTACATATGTTTAAACTTACTATCAATGTCATGAAATTGCATTTCATTCTGGTGTTTCTGTATTGAACTGGACATAAATCTACCTTTCACATTGTCTTCCATGTTGCCAGTCAAGCCTTCTGCTAATTTCCAGAATTTTACCACACTGTGCTTTTTGCATTAGGAAAGTGAATCTAATGTGGGAACTGCCCAGCTTAGGGAGTGAGATCTTTAGGAACAAAGGCATCAGACAGATAATGATTTGCTTTCTAATGGTTCTCATTAAGTTCTATTGGAGAGAGTTATTGACTGGTACCCAGTAATCTAAACACATCTTGTGAGGTTAGGAGTAGATTTCATGCCCATACTAATGGAGTCTCTATCTGGTGTATCCTTGTACTTTTTTTCACATGACTATCAAGCAATCCAATTAGGACACTGAATGTGATGCACCTTTGTGGAACCAAAATGTGTTTACTGTCCAGCACTGGCAAATCTGGTCTCTAGCTAAATAATAAGTATGGGAAGTGTGGCTCCTAAACCAGAACATGCTGCCCCCTAACCTTCTTTTTGTGTCTTCAAAGCACCTCAGGACAATATGAACAATAAAACCTATTGTTGGAATTTGGTGGCACCATCTCTTACTGAAATTAAATAGTGAGGCTGATGTTCAGCACCATGGATAGCGGCAATAGAACCTGTAATAGCTCCCATAAAACCCAGTGTGAATTCAGTACTCTGATGTAGTGCAGTCCAGGCCACTTCACCTCCTAGACTATCTATAACCGTGATTCTCAACCTGTGGGTCCCCAGGTGTTATGGCCTACAACTCCCAGAAATCCCAGCCAGTTTACCAGCTGTTAGGATTTCTGGGAGCTGAAGGCCAAAACATCTGGGGACCCACAGGTTGAGAACCACTGACTTATAAATTCATAACATAAGAAGAATGCTCCTGGATTGGTCCAAAGGTCTATCTATCCAAGCTGTTGTTTGCAGATTTGTCAACTGCCCATGAATAGCCAATCTGTGAGACATTCAGTTAATACCATTTTCTTACGTTTTGCAGGATTTTTTCACCCTTTTTGACATCCTCCACGCACTTGAGATGACTTGCATGAGGATGTGGGTGGAAATTAATGTATTAATATTCTGATATACCACTAAATAAGGACATATACATGCTCACCAAATTTTGGTACCAGGATAATATTGGCATCATTTATGATGAAAACAAGGAGTTGAAGCAGTCTTGGCACTAACAGATTAGAAAAATGTTGTTCCGTTTAATTGGAAACCTATTAGGACCAGGAAACTTCACATTTCTCATACTCTCCTCTAAGTGTAAATGTTCTAAAAGAAATTGTTATTGTGATACCCTAAGATGGGCAAGGTCAATATGATAAAATAAAACTTCCACATCCTATTGGTAAATGCCATTATTAAAACTATGAAGTTTTACATACAACTTCAGCAATTGTAGAATGACGTCTATGGGTGATGTATACACCTTATTGCTTTCATCTTTAATCACTGAAATAATATTGTGTTGCTGCTGATGCACAAAATGATACACCAGCATCTTGTTGGAAGTATCTTCATTTCAAAGCCAGTTTCACTTTTAAGAAAATATTATTCAATTCATATTTAACTTTTTCCAAATTTTGATAAAGTTGTTTGGTTGAAGAAACATAATGTTAAGGTTCTAGTGCTTTCAGTTGCTTGTTCAATAATTTCTTTTTTAAAATGTAACATTTTTAATATGTAGAATAAGCAATGGTTCTACCCTGAATGTAGACTTCACATGCTTCCCTCAGAAACTTCATTAGTTTCAAAATATACCATCAGATCTGTGGACATTTGAGCCTTAAACTATTCATCACTATGAAGCAAAACATTAAAATTTCAGACTAAAGGATTTAGAAGAATGAGAAAAGTGCAATTCTAGACATACTGGAGTATGATAAGGTATTATTAAGCATTCAGTCTCCCCTGTGTTTATATTACTACCAAAAATCCAGAAATTGAGGGGGAAAAACTAACCTGAAAAAATTATGGTGTACTGGAGAGATAGTCCCTATCTCCTGGGTATACTGTTATCCATGCATCAGTGAAATCATATTCATTCATACATGCCCATAAAATAGCCCTCCTCAGTAATTATTTCCTTGGTGGAAATGTATTTCTAACTATTAGAGCCATAAACATTAAACAAAAAAAACTTCCAACTTAGTCTTCTTCTTCTCTCTTCCAGTGATTCAAACATACAAGCCCAGAAGAAATAGAGTAACTCTATTTCCTACCATCTGTTAAAATTTTGACTGTATTTACAATGTTTTAGATATACATTAAATAAGGTTGTGACATTTAGGTCTTGTCATGGAAACTCTGATCAGCATGTGCTCAGCTTGGAATACATCTTACTTTGACTATTTCATCAGACAAATGGTAGCTTTACAGTCCAGACTGACAGTTCTCATTATTGCATTATAATGACTGAGACAGAAACAGAAAAATATTGTCCAGAATCTTCTATGGCAGTTACAAATGTGTGAACTTGTTATATGCTTTGTATGCCTTAGTTTAGGAATCATGTGGGGACTGGAAAAATCTGTAAGTCCTTCCTTATGGTCAGTAGCCATGGTAATTATTGGAAGGCTATTTCCCTCTAACTCTGGAAGCTGCTAAATAATATTCTTACCTATCTCCTCACACAAGCTATCTCCAACAGGAAGGAAAATTGTGAAAGGGATCTTCTCTCATTCATAGTAGGAGGTAGAAATAACAGTCAGCTCCTTCCTCAAAACCAGATCAACAGACCCCATTGATTGCAATGGCTGCTTCCTGGTAAGTGGGGATGGAAATGCGGATCAGCATCAGGCCAGGATTCAGTGTGTAGCACCGTAACTATGGTGTTTACACATATGTATCTTCCATGCAGAATTCCGGGACAATTTTTGAATTAGGGCATTGGTCCATCCAGCCCAGTAGTTTTTATATTGACTGGGAGTTGCTTTCCGGTAGTTTCAGACAGAATTCTTTCTCATTCTTGTCTAGAAATACTAGGGATTGAATGAGGTCCTTCTGTATGCCAAGTATGACTTCTGATGCTGAGTTACTACTCTCTCAAAAGACACACTAACTCACATGTGAGAATCCCATATTACAATTCCTTCCATTTCACTATGGGTTTGCCACTGCTTCAGAGGTCTTTTGTCCAAAGCAGGCAAGAACCATCTTATTCATCTGCCAAAATTGGAAAGGAAAAGACCCACATCAAAGTCATGGTCATCGGACATGTTGACTCTGGCAAGTCCACCACCACTGGTCACCTGATCTACAAATGTGGTGGGATCGATAAGAGGACCATTGAAAGTTCAAAAAGGAAGCTGCTGAGATGGGCAAAGGCTCCTTCAAGTATGCCTGGGTATTGGACAAAATGAAGGTGGAATGAGAACGTGGTATCAATATTAACATTACACTCTGGAAGTTTGAAACAAGCAAACACTATGACACTATCATTGATGCCCCTGGACACAGAGACTTCATCAAGAACATGATTACTTGAACCTCCCAGGCCAACTGTGCAGGTGTCCTTATTGTTGCTGCTGGTGTTGGTGACCAGCAGAAATGGCAGACCTGTGAGCATGTCCTTCTGGCTTATACTCTGGGTATGAAACAGCTTATTGTTGGTGTCAACAAGATGGATTCTACTGAGCCACCTTACAGCCAGAAGAGATATGAGGAAATTTTCAAAGAAGTCAGTACATACCTCAAGAAAATTTGCTACAACTCAGATACAGTTGACTTTGTGCCCATTTCTGGCTGGAACTGAGACAACATGTTGGAGTTCAGCTCTAATATGCCCTGGTTCAAGGGGTGGAAAGTGACCTGTAAGGATGGAAGTGCCAGTGGAACTAGGCTGTTCGAGGCCTTGGGTTATATCTTGCCACCAACCCATCCCACTGACAAACCCTTGCGTCTGCAACTTCAGGATGTTTGCCATATTACAACTCCTTCCTAGTTTAGTACTGCCCAATTTATTGAGGGGAGCAAAGAGGAGGCTCTGTGGCATGGAGTTGTCTCACATGGTCCAGTGCTTCTCCCAAATTTATTACTGATCCCATTATTCCTCTACTTTACTGGATTTGAAATAAATTACGAAGCAGAAATCATCTACTACTTCATCACACATTAAATTTTGCATGGATCTACTCCGTTTATATACTTAATGTGCCAGTTTTAATGGCGAGATTTAACATTTTCTATTCTAATTATCTGCTTCAACAATAATTGTATCTTATTCACCGAGTTAATGTTTAGAAATGTTTTGGAATTAAAATAGTGTCAAGAAAACATAATGCTCAACATGTTTATGCTCCAGCCTCCCTTTCATGTGTCCTTGTAATTTCTAAGATATAATAAATACCTGATTGTACAATGTAATAGCATATGCAAAAAAAGTTGATTAAAGAAAAATTATAGATAACAGTGAACGATATTACAAAATTGAAATGAATTATCAATGAAAGAATGACCAAAACCAAATGAGCTTGCCACTCAAACTACTTGAAATGAGCTCTTTAATCTATGAGATTGGAAAATGTAAGCTTGGTCTAGACTGGTCTGAAGTATTTTTTTTAAAAAAAACAAGAGCCTTGTAAACATTTCTGTGGGAGGTAGAACACATATTTTTGTCAATCTGGTCAACAGAACTTTGTGTAAACAACTTTGCAGTCTGAATAAATAAAGAAAATCATATCAATTAAATAATTATTTGTTTTTACATAACAAAAAGTATATAAGAGGGACAGAAGAAGCATTTTAATAAGTAAATATCAGAAGAATTATCTTCTTTTCTTCCTTCCTTCCTTCTTTCTCTCCTCCTTCTCCTTGTAATTATGGGCCATAATAATTGGATTGCAAGTGCATAAGCACAAATGTTGGAGCATAGTGGCTTTAGCCATAAAAAAAGAAAACAGAAGAGAGAGTGAAGGGAAAAGAAAAAGGAAAAATGGGGAAAAGGAAAGGACAGGAAAAAGAAAAAAGGAGAAGGAAAGAGAAGTGGGGGAAGAATACAGCTTTACAGTAGTGCAAGCTAATACATTTCTAATCAGATGTAAATCCTGGGTGAGCATGTCCACTTTTCCATTCCAGTCATCACAGGAGGTGGTGTGGTAGTTGTGAAGCATTTGAATAAGAAGAAATGCATCTACTTCTATAACTTAGGTGCCTCCAGCACCAGCAGTTCCCATGAAGACAGTGTTGATTGGTGGTAAGGACGATACCATCTCACTGCTGCCTTGTCCAGAAGAGTCCATTGTTTCCTGAGAAGGACACTGTCGAGAATGTCCATACATACATTGGGAGGAGGATGCAGATAGAGCAGGCTGCATATCTGAATCTACAATCAAAAGGAAAATAGTTACATTTTTGATGCTTAGTTTAGGGGGAGGGATAAAAACCAGAGTTGTGGAATCACAGTCAGATTCTATAGCAGAAGTAAAAAAAAAACCAATGTTGGAAGCAGCATTTGAGTTGGTAGAAATGTACTGACTCAGGCTACAAAAGAAAAAGTTATTATATTAAATGTTTCATTTGCTGCAAGTTTTCATATTCCTGCTTAATCATATATACAGAATGTTCAATCAATTTGGTAGTGATGAAATATCTTGTACTAAATTTTATTACAGTGAATGTGCTATTACTAACAACATACATTTGCCATTTATGAAGGAGTTACAGTTGAAATCATAGAGTGGGACAACAGAAAAACGAAAGTGTTTTAGTCAATGGTTTGGTGTAGGAACAACCCTGTCATCTGGAATAAGGATATAATCTATGCCAATTTTATTCTCAAAGAAAGCCACAAGTTTTAGCATTTTTCCCCTTTGCAAATAAAATAAAACAGTCTTCAAAAACTGTTGTAAGCTTTCACTTTAGGAATGTTTTGTGAAAAAAACTTTTTTTGTATTAATGTTTTTCTGTAGAAAAAAGTGCATCTTAGACTGAAACAAACTTTTAATTAAAAAGTGTGTGTGTGAAAATTAATTCAGTGGAAAATACTGAAATATGAAAAATTTTATAGCAGTGTTTTTAATGAGATGTCTCAAGTACCAACCTTGTTGAAGATAGGAAAATTCTTAAGAATTCTTTAAATTCCTGGTTCCACTTATCTCATTTATCCCACCCTTAGTTTATTCTCTGACTCTACCATATGATTTACTTACTGATAGGGTTTCGGCATGCTATGGAAGCATCTGAGTAATAGGATGTTCCCTGTTTCCTTCCAGTATCCTCTAAGATGCTGAGTGGATCATGAATGTCACTGTATGGAGGCAGGGGTCGAATGCTGCTTATGCTGCTGATAACAGAAACATGCTGATCTACCATAGGTCCAAGTCTGTGGGATTCAGAATAGTTTATATTGTTTCCATAGAAACCTGTTGATGTGAATTTGACAATAAATAAATACATAAACAAACATTAGTATCAACAGATAATATAGAAATGATCTTTATGCTCAGAGGATCTGTAATTTTGCAGGATAACTACCCCTAAATTATTCAACCAAAAATTATTCAACCGTCTTGTTGGGTGCATACAATCAATGCTGATGTTTTGAGTATGATTTGTCAAGGAATAGCCCAGTGGTTTATGAGAACTGATCTATTACAGCAGATCCCTTCTTTTTTGTACCATAGAAACCAGTTTATGCAAGAAGAGATCCAGCTTCTGTGTTTGATTTGAAGTCATATAGTCAAGGGTGGCCCATCAATGGAGAAAAATTAAACCTTCGAGTAGACCTCTTGCTTCTGGCACAGAGTACAGCTTAGTGACCAATGTGATCTCAACTCTTTGTAAGACCAAAAAGGACTACTGGATATATGGGGCAGAGAGGGGCACACCTACAAGTGGATGGAAAGATGTTAAGTGGTGCTGGCCAAACTAAAAGTAGCATCATTGTCACACTTTTCTTCCACCAACGAATTGTGGACAGCAAAATCCAGGACACTTATTGATGCAATCCATTGGACACAATTGGTTATTTCTGGCTTAAGAGTGTAGGGGGTGTTGCTTTCTCCATGTTTTGTTCCCTACCAGCTACTTCTATTAGCCCATGGGAGAAGCTATTTTTCCTTTTAAAATATTTCTACTCTTATGGTAGTTGAGACCCCACCTCAACGGGTTTCTAACTGACACAGGTGGAGAATATCTATTTAAAAAAGGGGGGGAGGGTTAAATGTGTAAAACTCATGTTGCAGTTAAGGATTCTGATAAGAACCAAATTCTGTTTAACTATTTAGTCTTGGAGATACATATTACATGAGAAGATACCTAAATAATTATTTCCTGATTCCTAAAACCTGAATAAATAATTAATTCTAGGACCTATTTTTAAAATATCAGTTCATGGAAATCAGTGGACTTTCCACTGTTTGCAATCTGCATGATTGCATTTTTTGTAAGCCATTATGAGTATATTGCAGAGAAAAGCAGAGTATTAAATAAACAAACAAACATTTGGTCTTTTATATAGTGAACATTTGAGCTTTCCTGATAGAATGTATGCAAATCTGTCATATGAAGAGATTTGTGGGACACATTTACTGCCCTAAATGTGTTTCTAAATTCTAAGTATCAGAGCAGAAGTCTTGTGGCATGATCTACTGAAAAAATATTCAAAATGTTATATAAAACTATCTTCAGGCTATGTGTAAAAGGTGCATATAAAACACAAATGAATTTCATGTATAGATCCGGGTCTTATCTCCAAGATATCTCATTATATAGATATATGAAAATACAGATATTCCAAAATCTAAAAAAAATCCAAAATTCAAAACACTTCTGCTCCCAAGCATTTTGGATAAGGAATACTCAATCTATACAAAGCGGACTTCTATATGCAAAATCTTATTCCATAAGAATTATTCTGTTGGCATATAAAAGTTCTGCCTCTGGTCTGAGTCCCTCTACGGAGGTTGAGAAGATCGGGATATAAAAGTTTTAAAAATATAAATAAACAAATAAATGGTGCAGTAAATTAATACCATTAGCCTTTCTGGAAGGCACTTTAGAAAAATGCGCAACCAATTTCTAGAACATGAAGTAAGAAATTCCAATGGAGTAAATTAAATTAAAAAATCAATACCATTGGAAGCAGTTGAGGAATATGATGAGGCCTGACAAGAATTGGTTGCAGAATTGTTCATAAAGTTGTAGCCCCCACTGTTCAAGTACTGCACGCTGTGTGTGTCCTGCACACTTGAAGAGGATCCATAGTGAGAAGGAGACCTGGTACTGTAAGGAGACACAGCGCAGCTACTGCTGAAGTAGTCTCTGGAGAAGCGCTGTTGCTCATTCGTGGTTGTCAAGTGGCTGGGTTCCACCCTATGCTGTTGATAGGCTCCAGAGGCTGGATGCACCTGGGCTCTGAACATGGCCGGATAACCAACACCATAGAAGTTTTGGTTAGTTTGTGACATGTGTGTCTGATAAAGGGGTTCTGAATATGAAGAGCAGTGGGAATGTGTAGGCAGTGTTGGGCCTACACTTGGAGGTCTTCCAGCCATGGGTCCCTGGTTGATCACACTTCCTCGACTGATCATGGCAGGGGAAATGGGTGGAGTCATGAGATGTTCACCACTATGATAATGATCCACTTGACCTGGAAAAAACAAAGAGTGGGGTGGTGGAGGGTTTGACTTGACATACAGACATTTTCCACAGAGTACAAAAAAAGAAAACAGCCATGGATATTTATGTTCTTTTCGGTAAGACTGCCAGAAGGCAAAGGACAGAGAAGCAAAAAAAAAAAAAAAAAAGAGGTGGATATCAATTTGTTTCCTACCCGTCGGCTGCATATTCTCATTGTTTCCTATGGAAAAGGGATTCAGACTAGAGGATATGCCAGTGAGTTGACCGGCTGACACAGGGAAGTAGGTTTGCTCCAAAAGGCATTCGTTTTTCACTGAAGCATCATTAGACATTGTACCAGCCTTGTTGCGGTTGGCTAGGAAACAAGAGCTAGGGGATGCTGTAAAAGCAGCTTTACTGGCATCTGGGAAAAAGAAAAGATTAGTGGCATGTAAAAGAGAACTTAACAGATAGCTTTCATGTGCATAGCAGACTAGAAAACCCAATAATAGGCTGTTTGAGTGTCAACTATTACCAGATCAGTTGAGTGTTTAAAGACATTTCTGAAATTATAATTGTGACTTAGTGCAATGTGGGAATCTGGAACAGGGTTTTTTCTAGGAGCCCCATGTGCACTTGCAGTTTATGTATATCATCACAGGGCAGGGGTGGATGAAGTGCAGCCCCCTAGGATGTTAATTATTTACAACTCTCAGCATTCTTCATCATTGGGTATGTTGGCTATGCTGGCCAAGGCTGGTGGGAGCCATAGTACAAACACATTTGAGTTTCCTGAGCTATATGCTATGGGATTGTGTCTAGTAATCAAACACAATGGTAAAAGGGATAGAAAACAATGCAAAATGGTTAGATTTCTTAAAAACAAAGTCATATCATTTGATTTGTTGTTATATAATGTTACTGAAAGGCGACTCAAATACTTAGTTTGACCCTAGGGTTACCTTGACAAGGTTTATTGGGAGCACACATGCCTTTGCTTATAGGATTGAAAGAGTGTGACTTGCTAAAGGTTTCTAATGCTACATGGGATCCGAACCCAGATATTCTGTAGTTAGCATGGAGACCAAGGTTCAACTCTCCATTTGGGCATGGAAACCCACCAGGTAACATTAGGTAAGTCACACTTTCTGAGCTTCAGAAGGCAAATCTTGCCAAGAGAACCGATGATAGGTTCATCTGAGGATCACCATAATGACTTGAAGGTACCAACAACCCTTGCAGCCCAATACTTAAACCATTATGCTTACTATTTGATAACTAAGATCTATTAAAAGTACTGTTTTAAAAACCATTTAGTACTTATTCAAGTGTAGCAATGAGTATATATTTACTTTAGATCAACTAGTGATATTTTGGTCTGTCAAGCCTAAAATAATTCATATTCTACATAACCTAAGAGATTGCCCTCTTCTTTGTGACCGGTTAGGATTTCTTCTACAGATATCATTTCTTGTTCACTATGCCTGTACTATCTTCCAATGCTATTTTTAATACCAATGTTGGAAAACCATTTTATGAAGACTTTCCAAAAACCAAAGCCTTAGTTTCATCTGTGAAAAAAGACCTCTTGGGGCCTTCCAGCCAAGCACTTATATCCCAGTATCTGATCCCAGTTTTTCTGCTTTAACCTGGATTATATGAGTCCCCACTGCCAAATAACCTGGGATAAACAGAAAACTTGGGATCGGATCCTGGGATATAAGGCCTGTTTGGAAGGGCCCTTGTAATATCTTTGTAAGGATATTATGTTGGATATAAGATGAAATAATGGGTCTGTGGGAAGGGGAGTGTCATCTAATTTAATTTGAATTTTATATAATACTATGTTTATTCAGAACTGGTTACCACATAGATCAGTGAGAATATTTTCTGATTCAGTATATTTGAAATTCTAGCCATAATATATTTCTATTTATCATAACACCTGGGGATGTAATGACTAAAATTTAAAATCAAGTCAATGTGCAAGTATTAGGAATGGGAGTATAATGGCAGTCAAACCTAACTTCATATTCCCAAACAAGCTGCCAGCTTGGCTATCTGTGCATAAACTATCCATCTATCTGTCTGTCTGTCTGTCTGTCTATATGAGAGAGAAGGCAATTATGCTTCCATGTTCCAGAGATTTCCAATGACCAATATTAATTACCTAGATTCTTCATATATTTGTCCAATAAGTTCTGGAGTTCTTGTTCTTTGTCATTGTTGAACTGGGTCTCCATGGCAAGCAAGATATATTCATCTAAAAGCATGCGGATTACATGAAATGAACCTTGCAAAGAAAAAGAAGTGGAGAGAAAAAGACTGTGTATGTAAGAGAGCATATGCATGCCCTAGACGTTATCTTGGTGACCATCTCTCAACACTTTACAAGGAGCAAGTGAAACAAACAAATAATTGTTGGACTTTCAGTGACCTGCTAAGACCAACAAGGAGCAGTGCTTAACTTCTCCCTCTAATCTTGCTTTGCATTGGCCCGCCTAGCTCAATGTGTTTACTGTCCTGCAGGTTATTTGACCACTAATGACATCAAAGTACAACACTGATGAAAGTGAGATAGGTTTTATACTTGAAGAGTATAATGAGTCAGAAAAAGCTGAGCCTCGCTAGAAGGAGTCTGGGTTGCCTGTGTTTAAGTTCCCCTTATATTTAACACCAAGCATGTTGTTCTTTTAGATCTGTGGAATAAAAATATTCTTATTAAATTGCTATAAAAAATTAATTCAGCACAGGTAAGGTCTAATTTCCTAAAATGACTGATTACATTTCCATTAAAGCTAAAGAAATAAATTTAGAACAATATGGGATCTAGAAAGATAAGGGTTTAATTTGAGCCAGGACCATCCAGAATACAACACAAGAATTGCACATAATGTAAGGAGAGAAAGAAGGTGGATAAAATCAGATACCAAAGCTTGATGCATTGTTCAGAGTGAGATTGTGCATAACACGAGCTCCAAAAAAACTCCATTTGAGAAGAAAGTCTTGTGCCCTCTTCTTTAGTGATCGGCCATTCTGTTTGCTTGCCTAAAGAAAAAAAATGAGAAAAGGAGGTGGGAACTAAGGCACGATCCACACTTAGTAAAGACAAAGGAATGATATCTATCCCCACACAGCATTTATAAAGTCCAGTTCTCCTAAAAACTCTTATCTAAACCCTTGATGCCTTAAGTATCCTATATGCACAGAATTGTGATTCTCCCCATTGGTAGCAGCCAATTCCTAGGCGGTTGCTGATATAGCCACTAAAGAATGTGGAAGCTGGAGGAAGGTGGCTGGGCAGTGCGTATTGTTTACTGGGATGATTTCCAACCTTTTTTTTTTTTTTTACCAGGGACCACTCTCCAACATTAGTATGAAAAGGGTTTGTAAAATCAGTTTTTGGTCGCCATCTATTCACCCACAGAAAACCATATTTAATACGTTTCTGCACTATAAGACAGTTTCATGAGACCAATCACTCTTGTTGCAATGATGTAGCAAAGGTGGGGCCATGGACCATATTTTAATTCTTGTGGATCACTGATGGCCCAGGGACCACATGTGGGGCTGCCCTTGAAAACGGCTCGGAAATTCCAGATGGTCCAACTGGTGGCAGCCAGGTTGCTAACTGGTGCTCCTTACAGGGAGAGGTCAACCCTCCTGTTCAGGGAGCTCCACTGGCTGCCATTTATTTTCTGGACCCAATTCAAGGTGCAGGTTCTTACCTACAAAGCCCTGAACAGTTTGGGACCTACATGACCGTATTTCTGTATACGAACCCACATGATCTCTTTGATCATCTGGAGAGGCCCTGCTCGCGCTCTCACCTGCATCGTAAGCGCAATTGGTGGGGACGAGAGAGAGGGCCTTCTCGATAGTGGCCCTTCGACTCTGGAAGTCACTCCCTAAGGACATCAGGCAGGCCCCAACTCTGGCAGTCTTCAGGAGGAGTTTGAAAACATGGTTGTTCCAGTGTGCCTTCCCAGAATAATGAATCCTCAGCACTTTGTCCTCTAAAGCACTTTATATCGATTTAGGTCTGTTCGTATGTCTCCACTACGCCCACTTCCTTATCTCGTCCATGACCAGCATCATTTTAAATTTTAATTACATTTGGCCCAGCCATAGATTTTAAAGTGTTCTGTACTATTCAAAAATGCTTATGTTATTGTCTATGTAATTTACTTTTATTGCATGTATTGTTATTATTATTGCTTATATTGTTGTACTGCGGGCTCGGCCTCATGTAAGCCACACCAAGTCCCTTGGGAAGATGGTAGCGGGATATAAATAAAGTATTATTATTATTATTAAACACTGATCTACATGCTAGAATGAATGACGTTTGACACCACTTTAACATCTATGGTGCAATGCTATGGATTCATTGAAGTTGTAGTTTTAAAATGTAATTTGCCCACCAAAATAGTACTTAGCAAATTACAATTCCCATGATTCCACAGCATTGAGCCATGGCAGTTATAGTGGTACCAAACTGCATTCTTTCTACAGTGGAGATGCACCCTTGGAGAGGAATACTGATGACATCATGCTTCTGCTTCTTTTGTTTGTGAACTACAGGGAGATGGGAGCCAATTGCCTCCTGCTTCTCAGTAGGAGCAACTCTGTGGGGCTTAGAATGATGATGGATGTGGACAGAGTAAAAAAAGCTAGGGCATATGGGACTAAAAAGACTCCAGTTTATGGGATTTACATGAAATGACAAACGGCTTCAACATAAACCACTTTTAATTAGTATATAGATCACAAACATTCAGGCTACCATTGACCCCATTCAATGAAGGCCTTTGATAATGCTCAAAACAGGATCCTGTCCAATCCAACCCACTTCACCAGAAATACAAGTTTAATTAGAGACTGAGGATCACTATGTTGACTGGACTGATGAAATTTGGACTGCTAGAGGAGCAGTTTCAGAAACATGGCACCAATGTCTAAATGAATCTGATCACACATGCAGAGGACTCATGGAATCCAATGTAGTTTAGTTCCATGTCCCCCATCCCTGTGGATAACAAAATCCATGGATGCTCCAATCCTATTATATACAAAGATATAGCAAAATGGTGTCCCTTATATAAAATGCAAAATCAAGGCCTGCCTTTTAGATTTTGGGGTGGGGTGGGGATATTTTCAAGCTGTTGATGTGTGTTTCTCTGTTTGGTCAATATCCTAACTCAGCCTCACCTACCCAGGTCAGCAGCAGCATTAAGGGCTGCCGCTTCCTCAAATGGCAAACAAAAGGAAGCCATTTGGTATGAGAGGAGGCTGTGATCTTTTAACTGAACAGAAGGTAACAGGTGAGGGAAGGATTACGTGTTCTGTAAATCATTACCACTCACTCAGCTAATCTTGATACATATAGTAAATTGTTCAGCATTTTCCCCCAGACGTGGGAGGAAAACACTGGAAACTATACCTGTTTGCCCTAGAACAATGTTCTTTAACAGATGCTGGATGGTGGGCAATTCCCCCCTCCCCTGCTTCCTCTCTTTAATAGTGATTATCAAAAGATTAGTTAAGCAGAACAGACCTGGGAATATAGTTTCACTCTATGATGTTTCAATTATTACATGAAAATGAGGACTCATCTACCCATTGAATAGTGAAATGATAAGAGAAGGATGGATTTGAGTTCTGAAGTGAAGTTCTCATAATGAAGTATTTCATTCTACAAAATATAAAATTTTACACTGCTAATCCATTTCCATAAACCAGACAAAGAATAGCCTGTGCTTCTTTATCATTTTCTTTCCACTCAAGGTTAGGGTTGCCAGGTAGGATGCAGAATAGGGCTCTTGTAACTTAATCCTGAACAGATTGTGATGCAAGGTGAGGTACTGTTAAGCTCTGCCAAGTCAGACGAAGGTACCTTTTCTCCTTCACCTTCCAAATCCTATCATTCAGCCACAGCTGCCCCCTTCCAACATGGTTCTTGCCTCCCTAGTGCAGTTGGGACAGGTATGGTGGCTATGTGTGTGTTTGTGTGTACTCAACTCTATTCATGTTGCTGATGTTTTCATAGCTCCTTTTCTGCCCTCCACCAGTAAAGCAAGAGCTGTGTTTGAAGAAAAGGACTGTGGCTGAAAGTGGAAGTTTGGCAGGTAAGAGAAGTCAGGCATCTTTGTGTGTCCATCATACATTGTATTGCTCCATGATCTGTTCAGGATTAAAATTACAGGAAAGCTATCTGATACCTAATGAGGCAACCCCATCCATGGGACAAGTTCCAACTGCATACCACTGACAGAAAATGAATTCAATTAGAGGATTGCCCAGCACAATTCAGCTCCTGTGCTCTGAGAGGCTGAGAAAACCTCCAGAGTATAGTTTTAGATAAGAGAAAGAAAACAATATTTTGTCGATGTGAAGTCATTAGTTAGCATCCTAACTAACACCCAGCCATGAGTTCATCCTATGCCTGCATATGTCTTTTGTTATTGCTGCTGTTATTGTTGCAAAGGTTGGAATGCTCTTCTGCATAAACCAAAGGCTTCCCAAGGCACATGGTTTTGGTGCAGAGCCTCCTCCCCCCGCCCAAAAATTGTCAATTCTATGATTAGTGGAAATCATCTAGGTGTGTCTCACAATCAGATGCACACTGATGACATCATCTCCTGAGTCTGGCAGATCTCAGTGGAAGATGTCACTAGCCTGCCTCTGGCTATGGTTATAGCCAGAAACTTCTCTGATTGCCCTGTCAGTTTCCACTAGCCATGGAATTGCTGTTTGGAGGGTCAGGGCAGGGAGCTGGTATCATATCAAAACTATGAATCTTAGAATAAGACAGTGGTTCTCAACCTGTGGGTCCCCAGATGTTTTGGCATTCAACTCCCAGAAATCCTAGCAGCTGGTAAACTGGATGGGATTTCTGGGAGTTGTAGGCCAAAATACCTGGGCACCCACTGTTTGGAGTAGGAGATGAAGCCCTAGCAGAGTTTTGCCTGTGGGACCCTTATGCTATGGTGAGTAACATAAGGTCTTAGCCAATGAGTAGGACAAGAAATCATCTCCTTGTGGATCTATTTTAGAACTTCTTCCATCAACATAAATCTCCAATGGATCAATGCTTCCATAGTTAGTTAAACCAAAATTTCTCATGACATCTTAACCACAAAATTATGATTTCAACAGGTCCCTACACCTCAGGATGTTGCACCACAATCACAAAGTTTCACAGTACAGATGGCAAGGAAAATATGTACAGATGTCATGGAAAAACTCAACAACTATTGAATTAAGGCAGGTGAGAAAAGGGAGGAGGAAATAGTGGGACTGTTTCTTTCTTTCCAATTTCATTACTCTGCTTGTGAGAGCCATTACTTTCCTTCACATTTTCCAACATCTAGGTTTGCTAGACATCTGGTCTAGACTCTGAGTCTCTGGCCACCCCAAGGCAGTGGAATGACCTGCTGTAAGAGATCTGAGAGTTCATTGAGCTGCCAGAATGTAAAACACATTTGAAGACCTATCTCTTCTGGCAGGCCTATCCAGTCAGTTTTTATCATGAATTTTGAACTCGTGTCTTGTGTTCACTATATTATAATCATTGTTCTGTTATTTTAATATATGTATTTTGTCGAAATATGTTTTAAAATGTGTATTTTATTTTATGATTATGTGTTTTTAGTTATGTTGTAACCCATGTAAGACAGGTACGATACAAAAAAGAAGAGTTTAAAAGACTATGATTCTGCACAATCTATTTGAGACATATTCACCCACACAGCTAAAATATATGAGTAGGCTCACTCACATTGATTTGAGAGGGTGGATCCAATTGGGGTGGGGCCGATTCTAGTAGGAGGAAGGGTGTTGATCATATGGGGGAGGGGAGGTCAATAAGTCTGAAAACACATTTCATCAGGAACCATTTGAGTTTCATTCACACAGAGTTAATGAGACTTACCTTGATAACCCTTTGCTCAACCACAGTATCCAGCCATTCAATAAATGACTCCACAGTGGCATTCTTCTTTAAAAGGTCTTTCAGTTCTTGGAACACTGTAATAGAGTCATCTACCATGTAAAAAGGAAAACATGTAGTTGCATTCTACTCTGAATAAGAGAGAAAGGCACTCACCAGTTATTGTTAGTTTTGTAGCATGGAAAGGAAAGGAAAGAAAGAATTAGAGTAGCTGTGGGCAGGAAGTGGTAGATAAGAGAAGATAGAATCATGCAGAGGTTTCCCCAAGATCATCAAGCCAGCCTAAGATGGAAAGAACACTCTAAAGAAGGGGTGTCCAAATCATTTGGTCTCCTTGGACCACAGTGGAAGAAGAAGAATTGTCTTAGGTCACACATAAACTACACTAAAACAGATAAGCAAAAACAAAGCTCTGGCATAATAATCCTAATTATACACCAATTCATTCAGAGAGTCTTTTAAAACAGCCAAAGAAGGTCTTCTGGTTGAACTGTTTGCAATTATAATGTGAATTATGAATAATACACTGGTATTTGTAGATGTAACATACTCTATTATTCTATTGTCATCTACAAAATTGGTGCTTGAAAACCACACACTAAACTTACACCCATCCCCCCAAAATCCCTCATAATGTTTTAACTAAGTTTACGATCTTGCATTGGGAAACATTCATAGGCACCCTGGGCCACATGTGGTCCATGGGCCACAGGTTGGACAAGCCAGCTCTAAAGCATTTGGTAGAAAAAAAGGGGTGGTGGTGTTAAGGAACCCTGATAAGAATCTTTGTGGTTCAAGCCTAATTCTGTTCAAAATTTACACATGGTTGTTTTACATTTATCAAGAAATGGTATATTCTGCATGAAAATAATAATACTTTAATAACAAAATATTAATACCGTGCAGAAAGTGCTGTAACTGGGGATGTAAAAAGCAGCATTTTCTGCATCGGAATATTAATTTCCATTCAAGAAGTGCTGCCTTCCTGCAATATAATTTTCCGTACAAAATAATCACACCCAAATTTTGCACAGAATAAGTCATGAATTAGGAATAACCTTCAAAAAATTCATGGTTTTCTGGAAACAGGAAGAAAACTTCTGAAATCACTTGCTACCTTGAGAAGAAACTTTGTGAAGAGTTATGTCCCTAAACCAGGTACTCTGTTTAGTTTATAGGAAAATGGTACTTGGAATAGTAAGATGGTGTATCCATTCATTTGTTTACTCTATTAAGGCTAGTTATATTCAGGAGAATAATAATAATAATAATAATAATAATAATAATAATAATAACTATTATTAGTTTGTAATTTGGGGTTTGTTTCTGAAAATTTGTTTACAAAACTGTTCTCTCCTCCACACACACACCCCTGGCACAAAAGAAACAAAAACATTGTTTTTGCTCAAAAATGATTTTGATGCAAAACAATGGCAATCAATGGAATCATTTGTTTAATGGAAAACTAACACACAAGTAAATCAAACTGATTCAATAGGTCTACTGGGATGAACAAAAGATATAGGTTATTTTGTAATGTGTAAATGAAGTGTTTGTGCAAACAAAAAAGCACAAACAATTATTTCACCCAGAAGGAGAGATTTTTTTTGAATTCTTCATTCTAGTATGTGAGAATTAAATAAGCAAAGATTTGTATACTCAGTACATTTATCTCCATGACACAAGGTGATTCTACATTCATTTTCCTGTCAGACAGCCATGTGTTCATGCACAGATTGAGTATCCCTTTTCTGAAATGCTTTGGACCAGAAGTGTTTTGGGTTTTGTCCCCCCCCCCCCCCGATTTTGGAATACCTATATTTGTGTATATTTGAGATATCTTGGAGATGGTACCCAAGTCTAAACACAAAATGCATTTATGCTTCATGTACACCTTATAAACCTAACCTCTTGGTAATTTTGCAATATTTTAATAATATGGTGAATGAAACAAAGCTTGTGTACATTGAACCATCAGAGAGCAAAGGTATCACTATCTTGTCCAGTTTTGGATTTAGGAATCTTTTGGATTTGGGAATTCTGGATAAAGAATGTACAGCCTGCAATGAAATCATTATCAATACACTGCTCCAGTGCAGAAAAAGAGGGAAACAACTGATTAAATGATACTTCAGTTGTCCACAGTAAACATCTTCAGAATAAATTCTGTTCTTCCATACAAGAGAAAACTATATAAGTCTGCCTTTGAAATTGTACTCAAATGTGAATGGATATTTTCTGGTGAATACATTTGAATTTATCTGTTGCAATCATAGAACAAAAACCATGAGACAAGGACTTAAGCATTTAAAAAATGCCCTACCTGTGGGAAAACAGTAATATTTTATAATATAATCACAAACTTACATTCAATGTAGCTCTCCCCATCTGATTCCATGCTTCCAGAAACTGCAAGCAATGCCTGAGACCCAATACTGTACAGATCAACTTTGTCAATATCAGCAACCATGGCATTCACAATGTGTTGATCAAAAAGAGCTGGTCGAGCAATCTGTGAAAAGGCACCAGGGGAAAATATACTGAAATTGTCGTTGGTGGCAGGGATGGCACAAAGGGCTAGGTTGGTATAATAGTTATATCCTTTTAAACTATGTTTCAGAAAATGATCTTTTGTACAAGATCACTGGATTTTTTTAATTTTCAACCAATTAAGATACCGATATTTTGAAACAAACATGAAATTCAATGAATACCAGCATTATAATAATTCCAGACTGACAGCTAACATTATGGATGGAATTAAATTATCCCAAGGTTGACCCTGGTGATGCAGCGGGTTAAACTGCTGAGCTACTGAACTTGCTGATCAAAAGGTTGAATGTTCGAATCCGGAGAGCAGAGTGAGCTCCTGCTGTTTGGCCCAGCTTCTGCTAACCTAGCAGTTCAAAAACCTGCAAATGTGAGTAGATCAATAGGTACCGCTTCTGTGGGAAGGTAACAGCATTCCATGCAGTCATACTGGCTACATGACCTTGGAGGTGTCTACGAACAACACCAACTCTTCAGCTTAGAAATAGAGATGAGCACCACCCCTCAGAGACAGATACAACTAGACAATATCAGGAGAAACCTTTACCTTTACTTTTATGCCCTCTAGCAGACAACACAAAACTGAGCTTGAGGATTTGGAAGCAGATGTTAAATCTGTCTACTTTTATCAATCGGGACTTTTTGTGTCTTGCTGATTTAGACTAAAAGTCAATTAAAGTTAAACATCATGTTTTTTGAAAAAATCTCCCAAGACAGTCCACTCCCAGGAAGCCCACAAATAGGACTTGAAGGTAATGGTTCATTCATGCTGCCCCATAAATACAGAAGTGCTCTCATATTCACTCACTGGAGAATGAATAGAAGACCAAAAGGCCCATAACTTTTGCTAAACCATGAACAACTTTTTTAATGTTGGGGAAAACAGATACAGGCAGATGTAGGAAAAGGCAGAGAGAACACTAAGAAGGAAAAGATTGTCTACAAATAACTGTCAGACAACTATGATATGAAGCAGAAAACTACAATGGTAATGCAAATGTTTCAAGTTATCTTCAAAGCAGGATAATTGTCTAGCGCCATAGAGATCTTTGCTGCTGCTGAGTGGGACACAACAGGATGATACAAGGAGTCCATTTCCACTAGCAAGTGGGGCTGCAATGAAAAGTTGGGAGAGGTCCTGCTTCTGATCCTCAAAATATCTCTCACAGGGGCTGATGACATCATCCTGCAATGCCCTGATCATCAATGGCACAGACTTCCATTCCTTGTGACAACTGGGTAGCTTTTAAGGTGGGTTTCAGGGCATAACAATAACACAATTGCAAGTGGGAATATGAAACAGTTACAATGTCCTGAGTTTCTTGTGAAAGCATAACTAACCAGGTATACCATTTTATGGTATTTACTCTAACTTTAAGAAATGAGTCCACAAAGTGGAGTCCACAACATGTGAGTGTGGAGAAGAACAAACCACAGACCACCTATTACAATGCAGTTTGAGCCCTGCCACATGCACAATGGAGGACCTCCTTATAGCAACACCAGAGGCACTCCAAGTGGCCAGCTACTGGTCAAAGGACATTTAATATAATGCCAAGTTTTTAAACTTTGTGTTTTCTCAAATATATCACAACTGTACCCTTGGTTCGCTCCTGGTACGATAAATAAATAAATCAAACTTTACCTGGGCTAAGTGCAAAAAAGATGTTTGTCGTTTCAGAGAAGATACAAATCTTCGTGCAATTGGTAGCTTCTTTGTTGTGAGATCTTCTGGAAGATTTTCCAATGATGAAACAATCCAGTGTTCCCAATTTTTAGCAAAACTTCTAATATCAGCCAATAAACTGAAAGGAAAGGGAATAAACAAGCAGCACGCTAGAATCTTGTGATTGTCTCACAAATAGAGATGGACAAATCTGTCAGTTTCACTTTTTCCTAAACTTAAATGTTTTAAATGTCAAATTCTTTCTATGCTATTTATGAAGAAATTTGCAAATTGGGTGTATATTGTAAAAAAAAATGAAACAACTTCTCTCATTCAGAGCCAATGAAGCCAACAAAACATTTAAATATTGCAGTTCATCTATGTGATAAGCTAGACCTCATTGTTTTCTTTTAACTGACAAGCCATATAAGAACTAAATATCTAAAGGCTAAATCTAACCTTTGTTCTGAGCTAGAGTAGACTTTTGATTTTTGTGATTTTATATTGTATTGTGTGCCTTTTTTGTACTGTTTTTTTTAAAAATTTTTTTACTGATTTTATGTTGTATGTTTGTTTTGTTGTGATTGTTGGGCTTGGCCTCATGTAAGCCTTCCCGAGTCCCCTTGGGGAGATGGTGGCGGGGTATAAATAAAGTATTATTATTATTAGACCCATTTAAATCAGTGTGACTTATGTAATTAGCAGCTAATTTCATTGTTGGCCTGCATTATATGAGTCTACATTGCAATTATATGAGTCTACATTTACCATATAATGCAGTATTAAACTGCATTATATGGCAGTGTACATGGGACCATTACATGCTTTCAAACTGACTTTGGCTTATATCCAACAAATTCTATTTTAAACTACGGGAAATGCTAATGTACAGAAAGGATTTGCATGCATTCACTGTATAGTTAATTAGTGCTATGAGGTGGGATGAATTTGACTGAATACATATTTGACTTCCATTTCTCATTTAGCATTGCTAAAACTGACTAGCCATCACTTTGGTGCTGCATGTACACCAGCAAGGCAGGGATGATATCCAGTCCTATGAGCTAAATGGAAGAATTCACCAATAAGAAACTTGTATACAGTACTCCTCTGTACAGTACATTTTTCTAAGTTATTGCTTATCAAAATATCTGCCTTTATGCCCTGAATAACAACATCATATGCAGATATTTACCTACCTTTCTGGCATCTCTTGCATAGTTGCAGGAATGAGGACATCTGTCAGAACCTTGAATTTAAGAGCAGGAAGATGAGTATCTTTAATGGCTGGTGCTTTGTACATGAACTTGTTGAATGCTATCTCAATTATATGTGAAGTGGTTTGAATAGTATAGAACAATACAGGAGGCCTCTCTAGCACAATTCTACGGGCAACTTCCACCAGATACAGAGAGAAGAGAATCCTTTAGGCGCCACTAGGTCCTCCTGTGTGATTCTATGGTATACTTTGGCCAAAGGCCCAAGAAAACTTTCATTTTAGGTAAAATGGATTACAGATCAAATACCACAGTCAGTAGCTGTGCTTGGCTGGGGCATTCTAGGAGTTTCCTATATGATCCTTCCCTATCTGAACAATGCTATTTGACCAGAAAGTAAAACACTCCAGGATTCCTAAGTCTCTCCATGGCATCTCCCAGATACATATGACCTCATCAGATGGACAAAATTGCCAGTCTTATGACACTCCGACTTCACTTGAGGCATGGAGCCCACTGGCCCCCATCATACAATGTCAATCTACATCCGGCAGGACTCTGTTCCTTGGGTGAAATCAAAGTGTCACAGTAGGCAGTGCTGGCAACACGGGAGGCTTCCCATGTTGCATCAGAAACAATGGAGGAAGCTGGGCGCAACACTTCCCCTCGTGGAATGAGGTGAAGGGCAAGGTGGGTGATGTGGGGCAATGGGTTCCCCATGCCCTCCACCAGGCTCTGCTGGATTAGCCACAACGCGTGTCAAATCCCAGTCTCAATGTGATGACGTCCATAGTCAACTTCATCAGATGTATTATTTTATTATTTATTTATTTATTTATTTTATATACCGCTTTTCTCAGCCCTCAGGCGACTCAAAGCGGTGAACAACATCAATACAAAACCTCACGGGACAAGTATAGGGCAATTAAAAACAATTGTACCATAAATAATTAAACATCCTGCCACACACCTTGTATAGTATAGAATCACAAACACAGAAGATGTCAATGATCACAGGGTTTTCAAGCAGGGGGAGAAGGTGGTCAGGCATTCCTTGCCAGAAATGTAACAGGAAATGCTGGATCTATGGAACAATAAGAAGAATGTTGCTCTGAGTGATATGCCAGCCATGCCTTCCTAAGAAACAAATGTATATACATCAAAAAGACTTACCTCTTCAAAGTTGCCATTAATGGCATTGTCAAGGACACATTGGCAGTGGGTTTTATACATCATGATAAGGGTATCTACCTGTTTCAACAATAAAAAATTAAATTACATTAAAAACCTTTTCCTATATTGGAAGTTCTATAATTGCTGTGCATTTTGGGGGCAGATTTGAAATCAGGTTTAGAAATCAGCCAGGAACTCTTCCTGCTTTTGCAGGTGGTTGGCTTTATATTTTTCACACAGGGTCTTTTGTTAATAATATTTTGTTGAAGTGTGAGTTGCTAGTCTCGTGATTTGTCAAAGGCTTCACATTCCTTCTCTGAATTTCTAGATGTTAACTCTTCCAGTGAGCGCATGATGCTTATTACACTATGTTACAACATTTGAAAAAAAAATGTTCCTGGTTTGAAAATGTTATTCTTATTTTGAAAGTAGTTGTTATACTCAAGAAACTTCATTTTTGTGGCTGCTACAAATTATGTTGAATTGGGTTGTTGGATGTCTTTTGGATTGTATGGCCATGTTCTAGAGGCATTCTCTCCTGATGTTTCACCTGCATCTGTGGCAAGCATCCTCAGAGGTTGAGAGTTTTTTTGTTGAATTGGTTGAGACTCAATGAGATATTCATTGAAAAATTATAGCTAAATGTGCAGCAGGATGTTCCATAACGACAAAGTTTTTGCAGTTTAATAAACTTTTTTTCCAGGTTTTTATAATAGAACCAATTAGGAAATGACATTTATAACTCGGGAACAAATACATGGGCTTGATTACCAAAGCAAAAGATAGCATAGTGTTATCTTTTGCATTGGTAATCAAGCCCATGTATCAGGGAAAATACATACAACACTACATACAATTTTCTGTCTGTATTTATGCTCAGAAACTCATAAAAATGAAGAAGAAAAAACCCCAAATAGAAAATACAAAAATTATTGAAAGTGAAAAGGACAGAATAACAAATGGAATGGCCTTGGAACATGATTTTGGACAGTGTGATTTTTAAATTTTTTGGTTTTAAAGCATTTATGGCATCAAATTAATGCCTATCTGTAAGGCTGCTCTGAGTCCCCTTTGGCATGAGAAGGGTGGGATATAAATGTAATAAATAAATAAATTCACCCCTCCCCCCCAATCCCCTGAATAGACTTGTTAAAATCAGTTAACATAAATATTAGTCCCTTAGAGTTGAGGAATTACCATGTGCTATCCACTTATTTTAGGGCATGATTAGAGTATGATCATTTTTATTAATTTATGCTTAAAGTCTTCAAGCAAGGGCAGCTTGGAAACTGAAGGTCTTCTGTGCAATCAGGTGAACCTTCTGTGACTGCTCATTTTCCAGGAAACTGTGACTGGATCTACACTGAATCTACATTATATGATCAGCTTAGACCCATATAATGCTGTTTAACTGCATTGAACTGCATTATATGGACCTACACACTGACTACGTAACATAACTCAAATTTGCACTGCACAATATAGCAATATAAATCTAGCCTCAATTCTCTTAGTAGTTTCATTTGCATTCGTTATCTTTCCTGGTTTATACAAACACTGGATTTCACAAATGTGCAAAAATGATGAAAATGCAGGAGAGAAATAACATTCTTACACTGTTTAACACAAGTTTAACATCTAGTATTCTAGTCACAAAAAGTCAAACATTAGGGGGAAATCAGCAGCATATGTACTGTTATTGCTAATAAATTCTATACAATTCAGTGAAATTAACTTACATATTAACATCGATCACTTTATTCCACTTTATTCATTTATTATTATCCCTTTCCCCTAAAACTGGAGCTCTTTCCTAGCCATGAAAACATTGCATTATTAATGTATTCCTCATGACAACATGGGAACTAGAGACAGATATTTAAAATCCCAGGGATATAAAAACAGCGTTTGCTATCAGTCAGTTTAAGAATGCAATAAAATAAATAAAATACTTGAGCCATTTTGAAGTTACAGTGAACAAGGATGCTATCTTGCAAATCTAGTCATTGATAAAAAAAACTAGTTAGGAAGAAAACTCCATAATTTGCCCGAAGAACTTGCCCCTGCCTTATCAGGGCTAAATTAATCCTTTGGTATTTGCTGTGGATAGGACTCCTAACCATGTCATTGTTTTGCAGTCCTCAAGTCAAATACTATCTGTTTGTAAAATATTAGGTGGGTTAATATGTAAGTAATTGAACCACCTTCCAATGGAAAGGCAGTTAACAGGTGATATGAAAGATCTGCTCCTCTATAAATCAGTCAAGTCTATTTGGCTATAGACATTTTGAACTGTTTCATGTCACTACTGTGAAGCTTTTGAGGGCAGAGGGAAAAGAAAGGGGGCAGATCTGGGAATCAGTTCCATGTACAAACACTTCACATTTTTACCTTGTCTTTAGAGATGCACCTGTCCAGAACAAGATGCTGAGCGCTGGGGAATTCTGGAAGAAGTGTTCCTGTTTTGGAGCTCAGGGAATATTTCCGGGTGAATCCACCCTAAAACAGGTGAAATGTCTTTATAAGTGAACACTGCATCCCAGCTGCACTCTTAGTAATATTACAAAGGGCTAAATTAATTGTGTCTCCTGACAAAGGCAGCTCTTTGACTTAGAAATGGAGAAGAGTACCAATGCATTTATTGGTGACGAGTTGGAATTATGACAAAGCTTTTTGTATACACAAAGTCACAGTCAAAAACTATGATGATGGTTGAGCATCTCACAAAATAATCAGATTTATACAATCCCAATGTCCTTTCTTGTGCATTGGCTGCATACATATTCATACTAATCCTGAGGATTAAGCAGAACAAAGGAAAGGAAAGACTAGAAGACACACATCTATACCAGCATCATGTTTTTTTTTAAAACCAATGCAAAGCAAGAAGCAGAAAAGGGAAGATAATGAATGCAGTTTTCTATATCATCTCCACAAATGGCACTTTCTCACTGCTTCTTTCTTTATAACAGTGGCTCCCAACCTGTGGTCTGTGGCCCATCAGTGGTCCCCAAGAACTAAAATATGGTTTGCAGCCTCATTGTTACTACACCATTGCAACAAGCATGACTAGTCTCGCAAAACCTTCTTATAGTGCCAAGGCAACAGGGATGTCAGAAGAGGAGAGGCGGACTACACAAGAAAAATTACTATATCAGCTCTAGATTATTAAATATGGTTTTTTGTGGGCAAGCAAGTGGTGACTACAGGATGGCATATGTTCTGCATCAGAAACTAGCACTCATGTAGTCTATCCAATTCATTTTTCTGAATCAGCACTCCAAATAACCAAATTGAATCTAAAGTTGACCAAAAACTGATTTGTAACCCTTTTGGCACTAATGCTGGAAAGTGGTCACTGGTCATGTGGTCCCTGGTCAAAAACTGATTGGGAACCACTGCTTTATAAAGTCTATTTCTCTGAGGTATCTGTATTATATTTTAACTTTCTTTAGTAATTAAGTAAAGGTGAAGGTTTCCCCTTGTGTATGGCTTTGGGGAGTGGTGCTCATCTTCATTTCTAAACTGAAGAGCTGGTGTTGTCCATAGAGGCCTCCAAGGTCATGTGGCTGTCATGACTGCATGGGGTGCTGTTACCTTCCTGCCAGAGTGGTACCTACTGATCTACTCACATTTGCATGTTTTCAAACTGCTAGATTGGCAGAAGCTGGAGCCAACAATGGGAGGTCCCCCCACTCCCCAGATTTGAACCACCGACCTTTTGGTCAGCAAGTTCAGAAGCTGTGGTTTAATCTACTGTGCTACCGGAGGCTCCTAACTGAACAAAGTCTACATAATGGTTACTGTAGTTAACTGAAATTTGCTTTGAGGCAAACATTGCTATTCATATTTAACCATCAATATCCATCCATAAACAGGCATTGGAAAAGCCATGATAGGAACCATTAAATTATTAAAATCTCTAGCAAGCACTCCTCTCTCTGTCAATATTTTTCACAGTCTTCTAGAGATGCATAAATCATTGGCGAGATCAATAGAAAGCTTGGAGATATTAACCTGATTCCAACTGTTAATCTCAATTCAACTAGAATGGACCCATTGGATAAAAAAAGATTTACAGAGTTGTTGGAATGCAATTCAGTTATTTATTCTCTGGGTCTGCTTTGGTTTGGACCAGCAATATTTAGGCCATGAGAAAAACAATTGAGTACATATTCAAAAATCTTGAAAGAATTCTAGGAATTACTGTAAAAAGTCACTTTTCCAGAAATTGAGGTGCACAGACTTGAGGCTGGAGAAATTAAAGTCTGTTGTTGCAAAGAATGTGTTGCATCCCAAATTCAAAAATGGAGGTGTATGTCCCTGTAGTCATTACAAATGCATCAGTATCTAAAAGGTCAAGCAGCATAGCACATGCTACTTACCTCATTCTTCATCTTGCTCCCAGAAAACCTTTGAAAATCAAAATACATTACTCTTAGTTCAGGGAAGAACGGCAGAATGCACATGCAAAAATAATCTCCTTGTATTTTGATATAGCCGTACAGTAGGCCTCTTGGTGTTTGATCCCAGGATTCCCAGAAACAGCACCTGAACATCTGGAAATTGCCTGAAACTGTTGCCACTGCTGTTACTATTTCTGCCCCAGGCAGAACTTCCACATGCAGCACTCTCATCCGAAGAACATTCATATCATTGGGCATCTTCCTAAAAACCTGCCTTTTAGTAAGCACAATTCATACATTCACCAAGTTGTCATCAAGTGTCAGCTAATCATATGATTAAAATCAAGTAAGCTATATTTTTCAATGAGATGGGAGCGATTGATGATCATCTTCCAACAGTATCTTGGCATTGTAGGTCTTTTACCATACCTTGTCAAACCTTTCCCAGAATACACAGAGTGATAGTATGCACTGCTTTCTTTGATGCCAATTCCATAATAGTGATATCTGTAGGAAGAAAGCACCCAAACAATTAATTTGAAAGATTATGAAAAAGGACATGAAGAAAACAAAATTGATGCTTAACTTTTTGTATCTGTTATATATTTGTTATGTTACCTTTCAGTATGTGATTCCAGGAAGTACTCAGTAGGTGCATTTTTTTAAAAACCTTTGATATTAGCATTCTTGTATACATTAACTTGTCTACATTAACAAAAAATGGACTGCTAGTCAGTGACAGTAAAGAGAAGATGATGCAGTCTTGGCCTGGTTGGACATTGTGGACATAAATGTAGCACTGTAGCAGGTTTGCCAGGTACATCTGGCTACCTCTTGAGGCCAGTTTGGAATGTTTAGCAGCCAATCTAGACTTGCCCAATGGCCACAATTATTTTCTTTCCTTTTCCTTTCTTGGCAGTGCTGCTCATACTGTTGCCTGGAAAGTATTTCACAAAAGATGTGGGTTTCTGCAGAACTCATAGTATTTATTATCGTATCAGAAGCAAACCGAGGGTACAGTTGTAATGTATTTAAAAAACACAAAGTTTTTAAAAGTTGGCATATTAAATGTCCTTTGACCAGTAGCTGGCCACCTGGAGTCCTTCTGGTGTTGTTATAAGAAGATCTTCCATTATGCATGTGGCAGGGCTCAGACTGCATTGTAATAGGTGGTCTGTGGTTTGCTCTTCTCCACACTCGCATGTTGTGGACTCCACTTTGTGCCCTCATTTCTTAAGGTTGGCTCTGTATCTCGTGGTGCCAGAGCACAGTCTGTTTAGACCCTTCCAAACTGCCCAATCTTCTGAGTACCCGGGGGGAATCTCTCATTCGGTACAAGCCATGGCTTGAGGTTTTGAGTTTTTGCCTGCCACTCTCGCTTGAGGTGTTCCTGCGAGTATCTCTGTAGATCTTAGAAAACTATTGCTTGATTTAAGGCATTGGCATGCTGGCTGATATTTGAACAAGGGATGAGCCGGAAATGTCACTGCCTTGGACTCATAGTGAAGGTGAGGAATAAGAAAGATCAAATGATAGTGTAGCTGGGTTTTCAATTATCAGATTGAAAATAAAGAAACAAAGTATGTTCATTTCATTAAAAATGAACATACTTTATTTAAACATATTTTATTTGATTTAAAATAATTAAATATTGGTGGGGAAAGGGCACAGACACATCTCTAATGGAGAATGTTTTTGTCATTAAAACCCTAGTGAGGTTTACATCTAATACAAAAGTTTAATCTACAATGTAAAATAAACATATAATAAACATAAGGTATTATAATATTTATGAGGTGACATAACATTTTAATAATACATTTGCATAGTACATTTGATGTATCAGATGCTATAAAACAAGGCAATTAGCTCGCACAGACTTGAGAGAAGCAACAAATTTATGGGAAGGAGTGGATAGATCAGATTTGTTTGCTTTAATGTCTAATTGTTTCTCTTTTGCTGAAACTAAATAAAAGCTACACTGCTAATCTTTGGTTTCAAGATTGGCATCAAGATTTTCAGCAAGACACAGAATAATTGACTTTCTTTCACCCATCCCTTGCCATGTGCGTGAACATATGCTCCTACGCAAAGAGCCACCCTGACAGGAGCATATGCTGACACAAATGATGGCTGATAAGGCAATGATACGATTAAGCTGCTCAGGGACTAGCAATAACTCGTTATCGCAAGGCCAGCTGCCATATCAGTTTTATTAACCCACTAAATCACTTTTAATAAATAAGATAATGCCTTTCAGAAATGGTGGAGGGAGGAATTAAAATATAGCATTGGTCAAAGTCGACAAAGATATTACATGTAACATGAACACAACCCACCCATAGTGTGTGCGTATGCATGTGCACATGAATACATGAGTGTGCCATTACCCCATGACATGAAAATGTTGTCCCTCAAGAGTAGTCACAGCTGCACTGCTATCCCTTGGTCCTCATTCAAAGAATGTCAGCTACAGTAAAATCCTAGGACTGAATTTAGGCATGACTAATGTATTTGTTATATTGATTTCAACATATTTAGCCAACTTCCTCTGGATTTGAACCATCATTCTTTATTTTTTCTGCCAAGAAGCCCATGCAGAATGTCATTCACAGTGGGATCTCAAAAGACGTTTTTCGTATCTTGACTTTGCTTCTTTCTTTTCTCTCTATATCCCACTCTCCCTCCCTCCCTCCCTCCCTCCCTCCCTTCCTTCCTTCTTTACTTCCCTGTTCACACTTTTTTTGCTTCTTATTAACCTTAGTTTTCATTTTGCCCTCCACACTTTCATCTGGCCCATTTGTGCTTCTTGCACTGGCAAGATCTAGCAGTTACTACAGGCCTGCACAATCTGCAGCACTCCAGGTGTTTTGGACTCAGCTCCCGGAATTCCTTGCCATTGGACAAGCTGGCTAGGGTTTCTGGGAGTTGGAGGCTCAAACATCTGGAGGGCCGCAGGTTGTGGAGCCTGAGTTACTTACTAGTACCACAGAGAAACCACCACCAGACCAGCACCAGCCCTCCATTTCCATGTACATTCTAGTGTTCAAGTACATTTTAATACTGAATGCTTTCAAGCCATGAAACTCTCAGATTTGCTAGGCCTTCTCACATTTCTTGTTCCAGCCAGGGGGTCAAGCTGCCCTCCCATTTGGAATCTCATATTACCCAGAAAAATTGTTAAGAGTAACAAAAGATCTTGCTGACTGGAAGATTGACAGTTCAAGCCATGGGTTGGGGTGAGCTCTGCCACCAGCCCAAGCTTCTGCTTACCTAGCAGTTCAAAAACAGCAAGGTGAATAGATAAATAGGTATCGCTTTGGCAGGGAGGTAAAAGGTGCCCCTGAAATACATGCCGGCAAATTTGATCAGGAAGGCATCCATGGACAATATGCTCCTCAGCATGGAAAATGAAACAACAGCACCTCCCCATGGCCGAGTCAAGCACAGCCTCCAGATGCCGGAGATGAAAAGAGGAAAGCCTTGCCTCTGTTTATGTACTGTCTGTCTTTGTTATCAATTGTATAATGGCATTGAATGTTTGCCATATATGTAACCTGTAGCCTGCTCTGAGTCCCCTCGAGGAGATAGAGCGGAATATAAATAAAGTATTATTATTATTATTAACAACAACAACAACAACAACAACAATATGAAGAATGCTGTGCTTCTCTCTATGGTATTTGATTCCAGTTTTCAGAAACTCTTATATCTGTTGCCTTGTTTTGCAATACATATTTTAGATATTGATGCATGTTAACTAAATGCATCCCCTTGTTGGCCTTATCTTGGAGCAAAACAATTATACTTTTTTGTAATCTTGAGAAGTGTTCTCTCTTTTAACCTTTTCGGAAAGAAGCTCTGATACTTCCACAATTTTTCACCTGAAAACACACTAGAAAGCATAGTCTTTTGTTTTCTTAAAAATATAATTTCCTTAGTTTGCCTGAGCTTAGCATGCTTTCAAAACCAGTCTTTTTGGGAGACCAACTAGCTTGCTTTCCAAATTGCTGGCTGGGTGCCCAGCTTTGCCCAGCCATCACCTTGTGCTCTTGTCCAATGAAGGCTCTACTGCAGCTTTGGAACACCTGTTCTTTTGATCTGAATTTAATCTACCATTGAGGAGTCTCTTTTGCCATTCATTTTAGCAAATTAAGTCATAAGCTCCCCCTACATGTATTTAAGCTGCTCTTATTCTCTCTCTCTCTTCCACACAAACACACACACCTCCCAATCCTACCCCTTCACTTACAGGCCCATCAGTCTAGCAAAGAGTGCACACACTGGGTTGTTGTAGGTTTTTCCGGGCTATATGGCCATGTTCTGGAGGCAATTTTTCTCCTGACGTTTCGCCTGCATCTATGGCAAGCATCCTCAGAGGTAATGACCTCATTACCTCTGAGGATGCTTGCCATAGATGCAGGCGAAACGTCAGGAGAAAAATTGCCTCCAGAACATGGCCATATAGCCTGGAAAAACCTACAACAACCCATGGATTCCGGCCATGAAAGCCTGCACACACTGTTGCTCTCTATTGGTTTTCTCTCTTCTCTTGACTAAATTCTGAAGTTTTGGCTCTGTTCCTGCCACATCGCCGTCGCAAATAAAGAGGCCACACACGTGCTTGGGTTAACTAAGGGCGACTTTACTATTGTTACCTAATTAAAAACTAAATCTACCTACCACCACCATAACTGAGTATAAACTTCTATCCATGAACTTGGCATTGAACTTGGCCTTGACCTGGCCATGAACTTGGCAATGAAATTGGTGAGGGTGAACCTGTTCCCGGAATTATTAATGTCCATCTTCAAAATCCCGAGCCACTCTAATTTTTCTTGCTCCCCAATATTATCCTAGGGCCATGTTACAGTTGCTGGACCATCCAAATGGGCGCCTTGGGTGTGCACCGAATTCAATATCCCTCCTGCTCACGCTGCACCGGGTATGCCTATTTAAGTCCCTACCCTCCCAATTTGCCCTCGTGCAACAGTATAGGGTAGGGGAAAAAAAACCCCCTCCACAAGAGGAAGGGGGGGGCAAAAAATTCCTACCCAGCCCCCCTGCGGGCGACCCACTCCATTATACTGTTAATGGGCGGGAGGGTTGGGTTTTCGCTGTCCTTAAAGGAAGTGAAGAGGGCAGCAAACTTGCAGGCTCCACCCTCCCCCAAAAGTAGTCCCTGTGGACTAATTTTGGGCAGGCCTCTTGAGCGGCGGAAGTGGCAAAAACCTCTCTCACACTACCTTTGCCAGTGTGATAAAGGCTCTTGCCACATCACCGTCGCAAATAAAGAGGCCACACACGTGCTTGGGTTAACTAAGGGCAACTTTATTATTGTTACCTAATTAAAAACTAAATCTACCTGCCACCACCATAACTGAGTATAAACTTCTATCCATGAACTTGGCATTGAACTTGGCCTTGACCTGGCCATGAACTTGGCAATGAAATTGGTGAGGGTGAACCTGTTCCCGGAATTATTAATGTCCATCTTCAAAATCCCGAGCCACTCTAATTTTTCTTGCCCCCCAATATTATCCTAGGGCCAGGTTACAGTTGCTGGACCATCCAAATGGAAGGAAGTGAAGAGGGCAGCAAACTTGCAGGCTCCACCTTCCCCCAAAAGTAGTCCCTGTGGACTAATTTTGGGCAGGCCTCTTGAGTGGCGGAAGTGGCAAAAACCTCTCTCACACTACCTTTGCCAGTGTGATAAAGGCTCCTTTCTAAAATGCTTACAGTGAGATCTTACTATCCAGAACTGCCTGGAACTATATATGGTTGGGCTGAAACTCCCAACCATTTTTACCAATGGATGTTCTTGGTAGGGCTGCTGACCTTGCAGTCCAACACTATCTGGAAGGCTGCATGATTTCATCCAATGATCCAGACTTTAAAGGTTATATTCCCAGGCTACACACGGCAGAATTATAGCACTTTGACATCACTTTAACTGCCATGTCTCCAACTTTAGAATATTGGGATTTGTAGTGGCCTCGGAGCTTTCTGATGGAAAGGGTTAAACACAAAGCTACAAAGTCCCGAATTCCATAACAATTGAACAATCATATTTAATATGGTGTTAATCTGCTGTAATTCTGCAGTATGGATATAGCCAGCACAGCCTCCCCTTTGGGGAATGTACTGGCTTTTTGAGCTAACTGTTTAAAATTGTTAAAGATCTGCACTTAACGGGAAAAAAGTGACCAAGAAAGAATGGCTTAGAGAGATGCTATACTGTTTTGCTGACTGGGATTTACCTGAATTTTAATCATGACATCTGGTGTTTATTTACACCATTAGTTAGCTCAGAGGTTGAGCCTTCATAAGGTAGGCAGGAAGGATAGTTAGCCAGTTTTAGGACTTTATAAAGCCAGAGATAACAATCTAAAATGTGGAAGAACAATTTTGTGCAATCATTTGAAAAAAAAAACTAATTTCCACCCACCTTTTAATGCATTAGTCAGCGAGGGAAATCACAGCTATGCCTGGCATTAGTATGGGGATTTAAAATGTGTGGAATAAACATTATCATAACAGAATTTATAAAAGTATTTTCCTTAGTCATTTTGAATCCGCTGCTTTGCCTCCAGCTACAATCACTGATGAAAAACTAACAGCTGTCTTAAAAAAAATCTGAGAAATCCAGAATCTTAGCATAGTTGAAAAGAAAAGTATAAGTAAAAGCAAGGAGCCATGGTAGCACAATGGGTTAAACCTTTGTGCTGGCTGAACTGCTGACCTGAAGGTTGGTGGTTCACATCCACAAGATGGGGTGAGCTCCCATCTGTCAGCTCCAGATTACCATGAGGGGACATGAAAGAAGCCTCCCACAAGATGGTAAAACATCCAGGACGTCCCCTGGGCAACATCCCTGCAGATGACCAATTTTCTCACACCAGAAGTGACTTGCAGTTTCTCAAGTCACTTCTAACATGATAAAAAAGTTAAATCAGATTTTATTTCATGCACATATTCAAAATACTTTCCGCCTGGGTTTGCAAACTTTTTTTAACAATTGCACTGCCAATACAAAGTAAATCCCTGCCTTGTTATAGCTATATTGGAAGACACGGATGAGAAACTGTTGGGCTCCATATATTGTTGTGTTTTATTGCTCTTTAACCTCAGCCAAAATAACCAATGTTTAGGGAAGGTAGGAGCTGTAGTAAAACATAAGGAGGGCAAGAGATTTCTATCCCTTTTCTTGCTGAGGGAATGGGTTATGTTAGCCTAATGCAATAGCTTTGTTTTCTTGGCATCATATTAGAGAAAGGTGAATTAAGATAGGACAGAATATGGCAACACTGCACTATATGCCAACATTATTTGCATGAAGGATTTGATACATAATGAGGAAATTTATCCAATATTACCTAGGTGATGCTAATGGCTTTTTTTATTGTTTTAATGAAATAAAACAATAAGCAATTTAACAAATTTGTTTCATACTAAATTATATGAAGAAGGTATACAAATCCTAATTTTTTTCAGTAGCAAAACAAAAAATCCACGTTGGCCAAATAAACCTGCAGAGAAGTGTCCATGATGTCACTCTGTGTAGATAACATTCTTGGTCAATTTTTTCCACTAATCTGCATTTGTGAACATAACACAAAGAAATTCTAAGTGTTTGTTTAGGAGTCCTCCAAAATATTTGACAGATCAGTTCAAAATGCAACATTTACCAACACATCTTTTGGGAAGAGTTTCATCGTAGGCATTGATACTGTCCCTCTCCTTCTGAGATGACCCTCCCAAGACTCACTATAGGTTGAGAATCCTTTTTCCAAAATGCTTGGGACAAGAATTGCTTTGGATTTTTGTTCAGATTTTGGAATACTTGCATTTACCAACATGTACATAATGAGATATTTTGGAGATGAGACTCAAGTCTAAACACAAAATTCAGGTATGTTTCATATACAGCTTATATACATAGTTTGAAGGTAATTTTATACAATGTTTTCAATAATTTTGTGCATGAAAGAAAGTTTGTGCACTTTGAACAATCAGAAAGCAAAGGTGTCACAATTTCAACCACCCATGAGGACAATTTTGGATTTTGAAGTATTTCAGATTTCAGAATTTCAGGTAAGGGATGCTGAACTTGCATTTCACTTCAATAGCACCCTTCCATGGCCATTCAGTGGCTGGGAGAGAGCAAGAAAGGAAACTGGAGAAGCATTTGTGTTTGCCTGCTCTGCCAGACACAGAACAATGGCATCATCTGCTGAGACTTCCAGATTAGTCTGGTGCTCCTCAATGAATGATGTCATAATAATAATAATAATAATAATAATAATAATACCATTGATCATATTCTCAGCTGCTGCAAGAAAATCGCACAAACGGACTACAAACAGAGGCACAACTCTGTGGCCCAAATGTTTCACTGGAAATTATGTCACAAGTACCACCTGCTAGTAGTAAAGAACTGGTGGGATCATAAACCTCCAAAGGTTGTAGAAAATGAACACGCAACAATATTGTGGAACTTTCAAATCCAGACTGACGAAGTTTTGGAACACAATATGCCAGACATTACGATTGTGGAAAAGAAAAAAGTTTGGATTATTGATGTCACCATACCAGATGACAGTCGCATTGAGGAAAAACAACAGAAAAAACTCAGCCATTACCAGGACCTCAAAATCAAACTGCAAAGGCTCTGGCATAAACCAGTACAGGTGGTCCCAGTGGTCATCGGCACACTGGGTGCCATGCCAAAAGATCTCAGCCGGCATTTGGAAACAATGACATTGACAAAATCATGATCTGTCAACTGCAAAAGGCCACCTTACTTGGATCAGCGCACGTCATTTGAAAATACATCACACAGTCCTAGACGCTTGGGAAGTGTTCGACTTGTGATTTTGTGATATGAAATCTAGAATATAGATCTCATTTGCTGTGACATAATGTGTTTTTGTGTCAGAATAATAATAATAATAATAATAATAATAATAATAATAATACACTTTATTTATATTCTGCTTTATATCCCTGGAGGGACTCAGAGTGGATTACAGTATGCAGATATAAGGCAAACATTCAGTGCCTTTTACACAGTGAACGCGGTGAATAATAACGGCATACGATACACAGACAAAGATAAAGGCCTTCCCCTTTCACCTCCAGCATCTGGAGGTGATGCTTAACTCCAGCCATGAGGAGGTGCTGTTGCTCCATTTTTCCATGCCAAGGAGCTTGTTGTCCATAGACATCTCAGATCGTATTTTGCTGGCATGTCTGCATGGGCGCCCTTTTATCTTCCTGCTGAGGCAGTACCTATTGATCTACTTGCATTGTATACTTTCGAACTACTAGGTTGGCAGAAGCTAGGGCTAACAGCGTGAGCTCGCCCTGACTCAAGGCCTTGAACTGCTAACCCTCCAGTCAGCAGAGCTCCTGCAGCTAGTGGTTTAGCCTGCTAGTAATCAGTCTGCATTTACTTATGGGACATAGCCAATGCCTCTCTGGTCCCCCCTTGCTTTCCACCAACTACAAAATAACTGTTGGAGTGATACTACAATGATATGACAAGTGCTGGGGATTAAGCTGGAGAGTTTTGCAACTTCTGCATTACATTCAGTTATGTAGAAATATGTACCTGATTATGGTAACTTTGTCATTAAACATGTGATTTACACAGCATAACACTGTGGTTCTCAACCTGTGGGTCCCCAGATGTTTTGGCCTTCAACTCCCAGAAATCCTAACAGCTGGTAAACTGGTTGGGATTTCTGGGAGCTGTAGGCCAAAACATCTGGGGACCTGGTATAACAAAAAGATAAAAATATAATTTATAGTATAGATCCTCTCATTCCTCCAGATAACTTTTTCCCCAGAAGAAAGGGCAGAAGGGATTCAAGGTCTGTGGTTTTTATTTTAATTCTCAGAATGTCAGCAAGTAAGTTATGATCAACGCAGTTGCCATATTTCCCATGTACTCTAAAAGCTACTTTTAATCATACATAACACATCAATCTGAACAAATATTTTGTGGATTGAAGAAAACATTTACAGATAAGAAAGATGTGAAATGTGTCTTACTTTGAATGACCTCTTGTGCCCAGTCGTCTTGTGGTGAGAAGAGGAAACTTTTGGCGAATAGTCTAAAGGGAAGTATTGATGATTAGATAACTAGAACCAGTATGCTCAAAAAGAAATATGAACTAAAGGAATGACAATATATGGAATAACACTTGTTCTTTTAAAATCATAATGATACCTATATCTATACAACCAGTGCTCAACCATCACACTTATCCGTGTCTGTCAAAATATATCATTTCTAGGCATTTTATTGGTCCTCCAGCACAACTATGTGATATTCTTGGGCTGGGAGTCCCTCACCTACAACCAAAGAGCATTCTAAACCTCACCAGCGATAGAACTGAAACTGCCATGAAACCATCATCAAGACAACTGTACCATGTTGTTAGCAGAAATGGGTAATCAAATCATGGGGATGATATCCTTTCTTTTTGAAGCAATGCTATTAACCTGACAAACTAATCTATTTAAGTTTATTGAGGTAAACAATGCTGAAACCAAAATTCAAGTATATGTCAATGCTGTGATTTCTCTTCCAGCAGTTTTAAGTAAAACCATTCTTTAAAGTGGTCTGAAATGGAGCAAACCTGAAGTAACAAGTTCACAAACACCCCCCCCCCCTTCTCTGCAGACAACACAATCCAGTAACCAACAGCAGAACAAATATTGAAGTTGGAAAGATAAGCAACTAATAGAAAAAAGGATAATCCCACTGTTTCCAAAGCTTGGAAGATGAAGTAATACAGGCTTTCCCCCCTTGTTCTTGGTCACTGAATATCATAGAAAGATACGAAGCCCCATTTTCATTAAACTAATGCGTTCCAGCATTTCAAGGTAACTGGAAGAGATCATGGGTGTTTTTAAAAGTTGATCTCCAAAGCTTTCTTGGTGTTCAGTTTCACTTGTTCTTTACAGTTTGGATTTAATTTAGAAAGCTCTCACATTGATTGAATGGTTTTGGCATTAAAGCATGAATGGATGTTTGCTAAATGGGAAGAAAGCATCTACAGACAACCTTATCCTTCCAAACTTTAACATTCATTAATGGTTCCTCATTCTCACATCTCATTTCTTGAAACTTTACTAATGACAGTGCTTTCTGACCTATAACATATATTTCTTAAAGTGAATGCTTCCTTCTACCTTAGCACAAATCCCTTGCTTTTATTACGGCTTCTTCTCAATTCTGTTACACAGCAAACAACAAAAAGCTTGAAAAATGTACCACTGTTTTGTTATTTTCCACCTTCAAGTTGTTTCTGATTTATAGCCACCTTCAGGCAAATTAATCATGCTCTTTTCTTGGCAAGATTTATTCAGATGTGCTTTGCCTTCACTTTCCTCTGAGGCTGAGAGAGTGTGATTTACTCAAGGTCACTCAGTGGGTTTCCATGCCAATGAGGTGTTTTTATCCTGGCCTCTCAAAGTCTTGCAAACAATCAAACCACTGAATTTCTGTGGTTCTCACTGGAAGTTAGGATGCTTCCACGTAGTCCATTATCCCAGGGGAGAGGGTTGGTGTTCTCATGGTTTTCCGGGCTAATTTAGCCTGGGAAACCATGTGAATACTGTCTGGGCTGAAGTTCAGACCCCAGAAGTAGTGGAAGGCACAGAATAAACCCACTAACAAATTCATCACAAACCAGCATTTTCCTGGTTTCTGGCAAATTGATTTGGGTTTGTACAGGACATCATCTGGACAGCTCCCTTTTTATTGCGGTAACTCCCACATTAAAGGGACTGTCTGGATGTGCCCTTAGATTTTAAAATCAACTTTCCAGATAAATCCCTTGAAGGCTTTCACACTACTGCTCTCATTGAAGAATTCATACACTCAGGACTTCTGAGCTAAACAAATAAAATGAACCCGATGATTAAAGATGCAATGGAAAGGGTGAATTAAATGTGTCATCTACCTTGCCAAATGTTGCAGCACAGGCTGGTTCAAGTTTCTCTTTCCTGCAGAAATCCAGGTAATGTGCATACAGGATGCACCTTGGCAAACAAACTCCTTCACATACAATATAGTTCTCTTCAAGCCTGCGGGTGAAAAGTGAGACAATAACAGCAACAAAAATAACTAGGGCTATCTCAAATCCCAATTTCATCCCAGTTTTCCTTAGTACCTTTAGAGAAGTTACTATGGTCTTAGGTTTATAATACAACTGGTGAACCATCATTTTGGGTTAGGGGAGCAAATCACTTCCCTGCCCTCATGCTGGGGGTGGGGGTGGGGAGGAATTCTGCACACCATTTTGAGGTCAGGTGTCCTCTCCATATGATCTAACAATATTTTTATGAAATCATTTTTTTTGGTGCTCCCAAGCAGTTTAGTCCAAAGAATTAATCTGGAGACATACATCTCTAATTCAAGAAATAAGCCTCTGGTGTAATTGTTTATTGTTTTTGTTACTTGCCATCCAGTCAACTTCAATGGCTGAATGGACAAGAGAGCTCCAAGACCTCCAATCAGCTGTTTGCTCAAGTCTTGTAAACTCAGGACCATCACTTTTTGAACTGAATCAGTCCAAGTGAGGAGTGTTGTTCCTCTTTTTTCCTGTTTCTTTACACTTTGCTGAGCATCATTATTGCTTCCAGTGAATATCATTGTCTCATATTATATCCAGAGTATGATACTCAGCATGGCTTCTAGTGAGAGTTCAGCCTGATCACACAGTGCATTTTGCAGGCAGTTACTCAAAAATTGCCTACTTATTAAATATAAAGAGTCCTGTAAGAAACATAGGTGGCAACTTCTCTGGAGCTCTGCTCCTTTGGCCCCTTCCACACAGCTGAAAAAATCCCACATTTTCTGCTTTGAACTAGAATATATGGCAGGGTGGACTCAGATACTACAGTTCAAAGCAGATATTGTGGGATTTTCTGCTTTGATAATCTTGGTTATATGACTGTGTGGAAAGGCCCTTAGATATCCAAAAATAATTTTTACCAAAAGGTTGGGACAGTTCAGAAATATGTGTGTCTGATCTAACCTACCATCTAAATCAGTGGTCCTCAACCTTTTTGACCGGCAACCACTTGCTCAGGGACCACTCTCCAACATTAGTACCAAAAGGGTTACAAATCAGTTTTTGCTCAACTTTAGATTCAGTTTAGTTATTTGGGACATTGATTCAGAATATTGCATTGGATAGACCACATCAGCTCAAGTTTCTGATACAGAACATATGACATCCAGTAGTCTCCATCTGCTCACCCACTGGTTTTGAAGCAACTGTGTAGTAATGGTGAGACCATGGACAATATTTTCGTTCTTGCGGACCACTGGTGGTCAACAAACCACAGGCTAGGAACCACTGATCTAAATGTATTCCATTTCCCTCTTATTGCTGAGCTAGTAGTTGAGTGAGGGTGGTAAAGAAAAAGTAAGCAAGTGTTTATGTGCATGTGAGGGGAATTCAAAGCATGAGGTCTATGATGCTAAGGGAAGAAAGCTTTTCCCATTTCCCTTACTCTTTCATTTTTCCTCTCAAGCACCTGCAGGCCCAATGGGGAACAAATAGATGTGTGATATTAATTTAAGATGCTCAATTGCAGCCTCTTGTTCAGGATGTCAATATTTAAGCAAGCCTCCAAACCAATATTCTAGTAAAAGGGGTTTACAAATATCTTCCAAAATCTGCCTCTAGAAAGCACACAAAACAGTTTTCTATGGCCCCTTCTACTCTGCCAGATAATCCAGTTCAAAGCAGAATATGTGGATTTTATATAGCTGTGTAGAAGGGGCCTAAGCCAGGTATGGGCAAATTTTGGCCCTCCGGTTGTTTTGGACTTCAACTCCCACAATTCCTAACAGTTTGCCCATACCTGGCCTAAGCCTGCCCTGGTTGTAACCATTTTACAGGGCACAGAAGCTGGACTTGGTGCCATATCATATTTATTCTGTTTTGCTCATGCCATGAATTCCATTGTGAGTTGTTACACCTTTCTCCGCATGAAAACAAAGTAAAAATGATGCTGTAGGAGGGGACAGATATGCTTATTCTTTAAGAAGAGGTCAATAAACTTACCATTGTAAGGTGAGCTGAGTCTGCTTCTTTTTATCCTTCATAATCTGAGTGATGGTTTTCTTTGGAGCCAAGTGTTTGTTGAGAGATGTCATCTGTCTTTCATGGGGCTCTCCATTCTCTTCCTCTGAAGACAGGGGTTCACTGCTAAAATGAATTTCTGCATTCAAGGCAAAGATTAAAAAGAAAATACATTTTAAGAAATATCCCAAGGCATAGTAGTGTTAGTCTGGAATATCAATATGCAAAGAGAACTTGTAACACTTTTGAGAGTGAAAGAATCAAGTTGGTAGCATAAGCTTTTATAGATTTACTGGGTTTCTGTGAGTTTTCCAGACTGTATGGCCATGTTCCATAAGCATTGTCTCCTGATGTTTCATCCACATCTATGGCAGGCATCCTCAGAGGTTGTGAGGTCTGTTGGATTCCCTCAGGCAGGAAGCACCCAGGCTTTGAAGCTGAAAGGCCATTCAATGCCAATCAAGGTGGCCAATTGCAACATTCACACTTGCTTCAAAGAGAAGCAAGTTTCTTTCTCCCACCCTGGACATTTCACAGATATATAAACCCCAATCTCACAACCTCTAAGGATGCCTGCCATAGATGTGGGTGCAACGTTAGAAGAGATAGCCAGTATCACTGGGTTGCTGTGAGTTTTCTGAGCTGTATGGCCATGTCCCTGAAGCATTCTCTCCTGGTGTTTCACCCACATCTATGTCAGTATTGTAAAAATTCTAAAATCAGGACAGTAAATAAAGAGCAACACTCAGAAAACACGTGAATTTCAGACAAGAATCAATCAGAGCCAGCTAACACCTCCCAACAAAGGATTCACCAGGCAGAAAGAAGCCAGGCTTTGAAAATGACCAATTGCAACATTCACACTTGCCTCAAGCAGACAAGAGTTATTTCGCCCACCCTGGACATTACACAGATGTATAAACTTCACTTGCCTAGTTTCCAACAGACCTCTCAACCTCTGATGATGCCTGCCATAGATGTGGGCAAAACGTCAGGAGAGAATGCTTCTGGAACATGGCCATACAGCCTGGAAAACTCACAGCAACCCAAAATTGATAATTGCTGTAACCAACCAAGAAATGTCACTGATTCAGCTATTTTGCCCACAGATCACAATTAGTTACATAATTTTACCTTAACTGGAATAAATTCAGTTCTGCTTCACCTCACTGTTTAATGAATGGATACCTAATGAAGAATTCTGTGCCACTATCAAATCTGTAGTCATCAGTAAACTTTGCACCAATGAAATATATTTTCATTGTCTGTACAAGAAAAAAGGATACGCTTTTTCTACACTGCCATATAATCCAGATAATCAAAACAGATAATCCAGATTATCTGATTTGAATTGGATTATATGAGTCTACACTGCCATATAATCCAGTTCAAAGCAAATAATCCAGATTTTATATGGCAGTGCAGAAGGCGCCACAGAGAAAAGTTGTTACAGTGCCAAGTGCATTGGAGAAAGAAACTCAGTATTACTATGGAAATTCCATTTTAGGATAGGAAAATTAGTGAAAGTCTGGGTAATAAACATAAATAAGTTTAGGATGAAGATATCCAGGAGTCAGAAATACAGATGCAAAAAAATAAATAAATAAACAGACATTTTTTGGGGGTGGGGAGGGGTGAGTTAAAAGATGTAAGTGCCATATATTTCCATGAATATATTTATTGCAAACAGACAAAATAACATTTTCTTCATGAAACACAGTAATCTTAGGAAAATGCTATCTTATGCATTCAATTCACCTGACAATTCATAGTAAACAAAAAGCAAAGACCATAAGGGCTGCCTTGCATCTCTTAGGCTGCAATTCTTTGGTAGCAAGTCCCCTTTGAAGCAGTCCTAGGGTAAAGATCTAAGGAAGCACAAGCTCTGGGATCCACCTGAAAAGCGAGACTGGGAAAATCTCCCCTTATTTAAAGCTCCTCAAATCCTTCCAGTCATAAAACCCTAGTTGGACAAGGCTAGGAATTGCATCTACTCTGTAGAACTGGGATCCCAAACTCATTTTTTATCCAGGGGCCTTGTGGTTGCTTTCAAAGTGCCATTGAATCCATGGATTTATTTATTTATTTGCCATATTTTTATCCCACCCTTCTTGACCCCAAAGGGAACTCATGGATGCAGAATCTGTGGATACTGAAGGGCATTGAATGTTTGCCACTATGTTATTTCCACTGGAAACCACCCTGAGTCCCCTCGGGGAGACAGGGCGGGTTATAAATAAAGTATTATTATAATTATATCTTTTTTACATGGTGGTTGGTGCTTTTTAGTTATTACCCAGTTTGGTCCTGAGATATCACTGAACCACAACTCCCATCACTTTTGATTATCCACCATGCGGACCTGGGATAATGGGAATTGCAACCCAACAGCACTTGTAGCTCTGAAGTTGGGGGAAGGACATTTTAAAGTCAGACACCACATCCACAAGCCTTGTATCCAAATTCAAACCCCACTATTCCAAAGGCTAAGCAGAACAAATGGCGGCCTTCTAGATGTTACTGTATCACAACTCCCATCAGCTCTAGTCATGATGTATAATGAAAAGGAATACAGGAGTTGTAGTCTGGCATCTGAAGGCCACCAAAAATGACATGGGGGGAGGCACTGAGTTTGACACAAGTGCTCTAGAAGGAAAGCAGTCTGGCACCCCTTTCGATGCCATGGACCAATGCTATGCAATCATGGGAGGTGTAGTGATGGCTGGTGCCTTACCAAAACTACAAGTTCCAGTATTCCATAGCAGTTGAAATAGTGTCTTGGGATTCCCTGAGGGGAGTCATGAGGGGGTGTCAGAGGCATCACCAAAGACCATCAGAAAGAACAGTATTTTTTGTTGGTCATTGGGGTTCTGTGTGGGAAGTTTGGCCCAATTCTATTGTTGGTGAGGTTCAGAATGCTCTTTAATTGTATGTGAACTATAAATCCCAGCAACTACAACTCCCAAATGCCAAGGTCTATTTTCCCCAAATCCACCAGTATTCACATTTGGGCATATTGAGTATTTGTGCCATGTTTGGTCCAGATCCATCATTGTTTGAGTCCACAGTGCTCTCTGGATGTAGGTGAACTACAACTCCAAAATTCAAGGTCAATGCCCACCAAACCCTTCCAGTATTTTCTGTTGGTCATGGGAGTTCTGTGTGCCAAGCTTGGTTCAATTCCAAAGTTGGTGGAGTTTAGAATGCTCTTTGATTGTAGGTGAACTATAAATCCCAGTAACCACAACTCCCAAATGGCAAAATCAACCCCACCCCCACCAACCCCACCAAATCTGGTCCCACTGTGATTTATTTTCTGTGTTTAAATTACTGCGATTTTACATTGCTTGATGTGTTTATTTATATTGTTTTTTGTATTTTATTTTTTATCTTATTGTCGTTGTATGTTGTTTATTTGCATCGCTGTATTGTTGGGCTTGGCCTCATGTAAGCCGCCCAGAGTTCCCTTGGGGAGATGGTGGCAGGGTATAAATAAAGATTATTATTATTATTATTATTTGAAACACAACAAGATGAGTCCACAGCAGACACTCTGCTGGCTATTGTATTGGATCACATGTTGGACACTTCCCAAGTGTCTAGGACTGTGTGATGTATTGGCGAATAATGCTTGCCGATCCCAGTAAGGTGGCCTTCTGCAGCTGGCAGATGGTAATTTTGTCAGCGCCGATTGTGTTTAAGTGCAGGCCAAGGTCTTTAGGCACTGCACCTAGTGTGCCAATCACTATTGGGACCACCTTTCCTGGCTTGTGCCAGTCTTTGCAATTATTATTATTATTATTATTTGTTAATGAAAATACTGAAAGTCGGTCCAATATCAGATATTTACATTACTATTTGTATCCGTAGCAAAATTATAGTAGCAAAGAAAATAATGTTCTGGTTGGGAGTCACCACAACATGAGGAACTGCACTAAGGGGTCGTGGCATTAGGAAGGTGGAGAAACACGGGTCTAACACATGAAATCTACAGTGTAGATCAGGCATGGGCAAACTTAGGCTGTTAGGAATTGTGGGAGTTGAAGTCCCAAAGTTTGCCCATGCCTGCCGTACAGTGCCCCCTAACAGGTAGAAATGTCTTCTGCTCCGTCTCAGCGAGGATCCCAAAGTGGGGTTTCAAAGGGAGGGCCTGCCCTGTCCCAGAAAGGCTTGGCATTCCCCCTTTCCCCTTTCCCCCCGCCTCTTTGGGGAGCCTGCGCGCTTGGGGGCTCTGTGCGCGCCCTCCTCTCTCCAGGGGGGATGCTCCGAAGCGCCCCTCACCTGCCTTGATCCCCGTGCCCAGAGCCGGCAAGGCCCGGGGCGGCAGCGGCAGCAGCAGCAGCCCCTCTTGGCTCTGGTCCTGCTCTTCCTCCTCGGCTCCTCCGCGGAGCAAGCCTTTGGCCGGCAGCTCGGGATAGCAGCGGCGGGGATGCTCGGCTCCCTGCTCCTCCTCGGGGCCCAAGGCGGCGCCTCCGCCTCCTCCTCCTCCTCCTCCTCCTCCGCTCCCGGCGGGGCCCCTGCTGGCCATCGTCATGCCCCGTCCATGGGGCAGAGGGGAAGGAGAAGGCCAAGAGAAGGGGAGACAGACAAGCAGAGGGAGGAGAAGGCGCCCACCTGGAGGGCAGCAGGGGCCAGGCGGTGGGAGATGCTCAGCAGTCGGGCTGGGGGCTTTTAAAGCGCGGTCCTGTCCCGGGAGGAAAAGGACGAGGAGGAGGAGGGGGTTGGCGCCTTCGGTCCCTGGAGAGGGAAGCCCTGCCTACCTCCCGCTGCACCTGCCCCACCGCCTCCTCCATCCCCCCTCCCCCGCCCCATTGGCCTTCCACGGCTCAGCCAATCAAGACGGCGGTTCTTTGGAGCATGCACAGAGCGCCGTCCTCTTGTCCCCAGCGGGATCGCCACACGCAGGTTCTTCAGACGAATGGCTTGGAAGGCGGAGCCGGGAGTTTCTGCCCTTCGCTCGGATCTCCCTCCCGCCTCTTGTTTCAACTCATTGGGTCAACTATGAGGAGCCACCAAGTTAACGGGGGAACCTGGCCCATTGAGCCCAAAACCCCATTGGTTCATTCCAGACAGAGTTGCAAAGGGTTCCTCTATACACCAGGTATGGGCAAACTTTGGCCCTCTTTGTGTTTTGGACTCCAACTCCCACAATTCCTAATCCTAAACCCCTTTTTCCAGCTCATTGTGTTAACTATGAGGAGCCACCAACTTAACCAGGGAACCTGGCCCATTGCGTTCATTCCAGACAGTGTAGCAAAGGCTGCGTCTTTACATCAAGCATGGGCAAACTTCAGCCTTCCTCTAGGTGTTTTGGACCCCAACTCCCAGAATTCCTAACACTCTAAACCCCTTGTTCCAGTCTCTTGAGGCAACTATGAGAAGCCACCAAGTTAACCAGGTAACTTGGCCCATTGAGCCAAGTGCCGCAGGGTTCCGTCCTGGGCCTGGTCCTGTTCAACATCTTTATTAATGACTTAGATGAAGGGCTAGAGGCAGGATCATCAAGTTTGCAGACCACACCAAATTGAGAGGGATAGCCAATACTCCAGAGGACAGGTGCAGGATTCAAAACGATCTTGACAGATTAGAGAGATGGGCCAAAACTAACAAAATGAAGTTCAACAGTGACAAATGCAAGATACTCCACTTTGGCAGGAAAAACGAAATGCAAAGATACAGAATTGGGGATGCCTGGCTTGAGAGCAGTACGTGTGAAAAAGATCTTGGAGTCCTCGTGGACAACAAGTTAAACATGAGCCAACAATGTGATGTGGCGGCAAAAAAAGCCAATGGGATTTTGGCCTGCATCAATAGGAGCATAGTGTCTAGATCTAGGGTAATGCTACCCCTCTATTCTGCTTTGGTTAGACCACACCTGGAATATTGTGTCCAATTCTGGGCACCACAATTCAAGAGAGATATGACAAGCTGAAATGTGTCCAGAGGAGGGCGACTAAAATGATCAAGGGTCTGGAGAACAAGCCCTATGAGGAGCGGCTTAAGGAACTGGGCATGTTTAGCCTGAAGAAGAGAAGGCTGAGAGGAGATATGATAGCCATGTATAAATATGTGAGAGGAAGCCACAGGGAGGAGGAGCAAGCTTGTTTTCTGCTTCCTTGGAGACTAGGACGCGGAACAATGGCTTCAAACTACAAGAGAGGAGATTCCATCTGAACATGAGGAAGAACTTCCTGACTGTGAGAGCCATTCAGCAGTGGAACTCTCTGCCCCGGAGTGTGGTGGAGGCTCCTTCTCTGGAAGCTTTTAAGCAGAGGCTGGATGGCCATTTGTCAGGGGTGATTTGAATGCAATATTCCTGCTTCTTGGCAGGGGGTTGGACTGGATGGCCCATGAGGTCTCTTCCAACTCTTTGATTCTATGATTCTATGAGCCATATCACAGTCCGAGGCAGAGAGTTCCACTGCTGAACAGCTCTCACAGTTAGGAAGTTCTTCCTCGTGTTCCCAAAATATAGTCTCCTCTCTTGTAGTTTGAAGCCATTATTCCACATCCTAGTCTCCAGGGCAGCAGAAAACAAGCTTACTCCCTCCTCCCTGTGACTTCCCCTCACATCTTGATACATGCCCCTCCTCATGTCTACTCTCCACCTTCTCTTCTGCTAAACATGCCCAGCTCTTTCAGCTGCTCCTCATAGGGCTTGTTCTCCAGACCCTTGATCATTTTAGTCTCCCTCCTCTGGACATATTTCAGCTTGTCAACATATCTCTTCAATTGGGGTGATCCAGATATAGCTATGTGAATGAGATGATGAATTGCTCCACTCAGATACCAGAAGCTCAAGCAGTTTTAAAAGATGTCAAATTAAAGGGAGAAAACACTCCTCAAGAACATGAAAAATGAGCCCTGCTGGAGTGAAGCAAAAGCTGATATAGGATTTCCTACAGACATTTTTCATATTTAGGAATGTTCTCTGAAAAAAAATGAAGGGAAAAAAGCAAAAGAAAATGAGGAGGGGAAAATAAAAAATGGAATTATTTAGACTTCCAAGTTTACATGAATGAGACAGTGTGAATGGACAGAGAAAGCCTCATAAGAAAGCACCCTTAGGAAAAACTTTCATGCAGCCACAGTAGCACTTATTTGGGGCTACATGTTTCAACAGATCACAGTGAACAGAGAAGGAACCAGAATTGAATTGTATCCTTAAAGACTTTCATGGCTGGAATCACTGGGTTGTTGTGGGTTTTTGTTTTTTTGAGCTATCATGTCCATGTTTTAGAGGCATTCTTTCCTGATGTTTCGCCTGCATCTGTGGTAAGCATCCTCAGAGGTTGTGACCTCATCACCTCTGAGGATGCTTGCCATAGATGGAGGCAAAACAGGAGAGAATGCCTCTAGAACATGGACATATAGCCCGAAAAACCTAGAACAACCCAGAATTAAATTATTTGAATATTCTGGATATAAAATATGGTAGGGCTTTTTCCTTTGCTGAATCCATTTTTCACCGCATATGGGGTAAGGGTTTTTGTTGTAGAACTTTAGCACTACTTTGTTTGCATAAACAATTAATTGATGGTTCTGTGGTTACTACACTCCCTGGTGTTTCCTTTCTTGGGAAGTGGAATGTATATTCAGTGTTTCTGTGAGCTATTTTTTTGTTTTCCATATTTAGAACTAGAGTAAATGTTGTCCTTTAGCTGGATATTGGTGTGCTATCAGTTCCTGGTGATTTATTTCTCTCTAGTGCTCAGAGTGCAGTTTCCACTTTAATTTATAAAGTTATGGGCTCACCATCAGATGGTTCTTCCTTGAATGAATCTGCCATCCTTTCACGTCCTTTATATATTTTTTCAATGTATGGTTTTCATTGGCTTTTATTTCTACTTAGTCATGTAATGTCTTCCCCTGCTGGTTGTAGAGCATTCCCACTCTCGTTTTCAATTTCCATGTTGTATGTCAGCCTGTGATTGTGTCTAATGATCAGATTGCTTTGAATGATGGGAATGACAATGTTGTTCATGTTCAAGTTGATTCCTCTGATGGAAATGGAGATGCTGTCCATGAAGATGTTCCTGAAGGGAATGGGGACGACGGTCCGTTTCCTGGACCTGGTTTTAGAGATTGGGGGGGGGTCTGAATGCAGTTCAAATGATGGCTTAGAGAAGGCTGTATTGCTATAAGGGGATTCTCAAGGTCTTGAGCCTGAGAAAGGCTCTGCGTCGCAGTCCACTGGTCAGTTATCTCCAGGTGCAGATTTTAATGAAGGCTTGAACATAAGAAGTGTTTTTAGCCAGCAAAGACAAACAAACCAGCAATTATGGCACTCAGCCAGATTACATCAGAAGTTAGAAGTGAAACTAAAGTTAAGGAAAAATCCATTCTTAGCTGTTTGTGAAATAGGGCAGGAACATAAGTGCCAAGTACAGAATCTAGCTTCAGATGAAGCAATGTTCAGATGAAGCAACTTGCTTCATGCCAAGTTCCTGGACCCTTGTCTTTGTTTGATTCCTGTTTTAAGTGCCTTTGCTGTTATTTGCCTTTGAAATCAAGCATCTAGTTTCATGGACTTCTTTGGACTATCTCTCTTTGGACTAATTGCTCCTTTTTCTTCTTAATCAATTGGATTTACCTTTTGCTGTGGACTACTTTTTATTGCTTTGGCTTTTATTACATACAATAAACTGCTTGCTATTTGAACTAAACTGTGTGGTGTTTGAAGTCACAGGGGATCCTGCTCAGGAGTGTAACACTCCCTTTGATTTCTTGGATCTCGTGGAAGAGGTCTCTTGTTCTTTCTTTTTTTGTTGTCATCATCTATTTTTCTGAATTGATTATTACAGTAGTTTTCCTTGTTCTTGTGCACAGAAATATTTTTAATTAATAAATAATAAGATTTCTTCCTTAAATAGTTCATTGTGTAGAATTCAAAGGCATAGCTATGTTTGTCTGGAATAGTATGCAAAGGGATCTTGTAATATCTTAGAGACAAGCAAAGAGAATGAAGTTGATACTAGTAGCACATGCTTTTGTAGGTTAAGTTTACAAAGGTTGCAACTGAGGAAGTAGACTGAGTGTACAAAAGTTTATGCACCTAATTTTGTTCTCATAGGCCCCTTCCACACTGCCCCTGTACCCAGGATCTGATCCCAGGTTTAAACTCGATTATATGAGTCTCCATGGCCAGATAATCTAGGATCAGATCCTGAGATATAGGGGCAGTGCGAAAAGGGCCTTAGACTCTAAGGTGCTGTTGTAATCACAACAGTGGTGCAAGTGGCTGGTTGAAACAGAACAAGCTACCAGAAGATAAGTGAGACATTAGCTGAGGTCTAAACAGTCTGAGGCCAAGGAAACCAAATCAATAAGTCTGTTTAGGGTTGAGCCAGAAGAATAATGACAACAGATCTGAAGTCAAATCCACAAAGGAACAAGTAAGTGTTGGAAACCAGGTCAAAACAGAGTAGTTTTCCACACCAGAGAAGCATCATGCAACTACTTGATTTATAGCTCTGGTTCCTCTTCTCAGCTGCTCCTTGATTTAGCAGAATTTTTCATAAAGTGGCACAACTT